GGAGTAGATGGTCGAGACCGAAGTGCTGTAGAGAGTAGCGGTGACAAGGCCAGTTGCATCAGCACCACCCATACCAGCACCGGCAGCTCCAGTGGCGGCGGCACCACCAGCGACGGCAGAAGAAGCGGCAGCTGAGCCAGGGACAACCGAAGAGGCAGCGACACCGGCACCACAGGCGACACCAGATCTGTCGTCAGTAGTGCTGGACTCGAAGAGAGCGAAGGTAACACCGGGGTCAGTCATGCGGGTGTCAAGCTCAACACAGCGGTAGAATGAGCAAGTAGCGGTATCCTCATCGAATGCAGTTCCCTTGCAGGTGACATCTGCGGCACAAGCAGCAACACAGCCTTCGAATGTCTGAGCTTGTCTCTTGGCAAGACCGATGTTGATGTCAAGGCTGACACCCATGTATGTTGTGTTGTACTGAATGGCGAAGGTGACACCATCGACAGTGATCGAGGTGGGGAGAGCAGTGGGGGCAGCGCTGGTAGCAGAAGGGGAAGTAGCGGTAGCGGAGCTGTTGGAAGAGCCAGGTCTGGAAACAATTCCAGTGGGGAGGGAGGGAGGCTAGACAGCTCGCTGATGACACTGGAAGGAAGTCCGCTGAGAATGCTGGAGATGACACTGGAGGGGAGACCAGTAAGAACGGTCGAGGGGTTGGCAGTCGAGGCACCCGAGGGCAAGATGCTGGTGGGAAGGCCGCTGAGGATGCTGGAGACGACACCTGAGGGAAGCTCGGTCAAGACACCAGTAGGGAGAGGGACGGTGGAGAGGATGCCAGTGGGGAGACTGATAGGAGTGCTACCAGCTCCGAGAACACTGGACAAGACACCCGAGGGCAGCTCACTCAGGATGCTGGAGACAACACCACCGGGAAGCTCAGTGAGAATGCCTGTGGGGATTGCGCTTGGAACACCTCCAAGAACACTGGAAACGAGACCGGTAGGAAGCTCAGACAAAATGCTGGAGATGATTCCAGTGGGCAGCTCGGTCAGGATACCGGTGGGAAGAGCGGAGGTAAGACCACCGACATCAGAAGTGACTCCACCGATGACAGAGGTAACACCACCGATGACAGAAGTGACACCTCCAATGACAGAAGTAACACCTCCGATCTCCGAAGTAACTCCGCCGACGACAGAGGTGACTCCACCGACGACAGAAGTAACACCACCAACGATGCCAGTAGCGTCAGAGACGATTGGAGTGACAATTGAGCCAGCAACAGAGGTAAGGCTCGCGACATCACTTACAACAGCCGAGGTGAGGCTGTTGACATCACTACAGCAGCCGAGGTGAGGCTGTTGACGTCCGAGATGATGCTAGACAAGACGGCGGTGGGGACTGCGCCGGAAGGCAGATCACTTGTGATACCTGCGACGGCAGACACAATGCTGGTCAGGACGTCGGTAGGGACGGCGGCGGGGTCGCTGGCCAGGCTAGATACAAGAGACTCGATGCTGGTCAGAGCAGCGGCGGGGTCGCTTGCGACGGGAAGGTCGCTGGTGATACTGGCGACGGGAAGGTCGCTTGCGAGGGGAAGATCGCTGGTAAGGCTGGCGACGGCTGAAGTCAGAGCGGCAGCATCGCTGGTTGGCAGGTCGCTGGTGATGCTGTCGACGGCAGAGGCAATAGCAGTAGGAAGGTCGCTGGCAGGAAGACTGGCTGCAGCACTCTCAATGGCAGAGGTGAGCGAGGCCACAGCGCCGGTGGGTGCGTCGCTTCCGATGAGAGAAGTGACAACAGAGATGATAGGGGACACAACAGGGATGCTGGCAGGCACGTTGGCAGGAACACTGGCACCAGCAACCTCGAGGGCGTGGGCGCCTGCGGCGAAGTAGACGCCGGCAGCTCCGAGAGCGGCGATTCTGTAGGAAACCATGGTTGCAAGATTAAAAGTTTAGTAGAAGAACTAAAAGAATGTCGGTCCCAGGTGTGTAGGGAATGAATGAGTGACTGAGTGAATGAATGAATGAGATGCTGATGATGAACAAGATAGAAGGAGGCTATTGAGAAGAATACTTATACCATGCTTTCTCCTACTGACAAGATGCACTGATGTTTGGATCACAGATGTTGAACGAACAAAGGAGGCTCACGGTTGATTGCAAACTCACCTGTCAAGCAACGACTAAGCAATTTCCAGAGATTCCCGATGATCAAGGCGGTCGTTGTGTCTGGCTGCAGTATCATACAGTATTGCCCCTTCTCACAAGGAGAGCAAGAGGTGCAAAGCAGAGACGGGATTGGACAGAATCGGACTACTCAACCATCGAGGCCGTTGCAGCAGACGAGAAGGAGTCGACAGTTGCTGTGGGAGAGACAAGCCTCTTGACGGATAGCAGGATCCAAGTTTGGTTTGCGCAATTCGCGAGCATGTCCGAATTGTTGTTCGTCTCTCCTGCATGACGTGAAAGCTCCAGACGTAGGTGGGCGCAGCGGCTCTGGAGACGCGAAGGATCCTGGGGCGCGAGAAATGTGGATTTTGGACAACGACCGAGGACATCCGAAGTCTTCAAGCAAGCTCCTGCATGCCGTTCTGCATCATGGCTGTACGTACATCTGGGTGATCTGGATGCAGCGAGAATAGAGCCATGATCGACCGGTGGAGATTGAACAAGCCCAGCAGTTGATAGATGATGATATCGAAGCTTGTGTTTACAGCATATCTGGTGTTTGTGGTTGAAGATGCAGCAGTTCTGGGTGGAAGGCTTGGAAGGATCTGGAGAAAGCTGCAAGGGTCAGGTCTGACCGTCACGGCCGTTGAGATCCTTCGGTTGTCTCGGCAGGGGCGTTTGCCGAAGATGATCCGCGAAAGTCTGTTGACCGACAGACCCTGGCATGGCTTTTTCTACCTCTTTCCTACATCACAATCGCTATATGTGACATGTGCAATCTGTACGCTCAATACATGTAGAATAGCTTGATATACTTAGCGTACTATGGACTGTATCTGGCTGAACATGGCCTGTCGAAGGATGGATGATGGAGCGAGCCATGATCATTGACTGCAGATTCAGAAAGATACGTGACGCGAATCGTTCAATTTGCACTGGTCGGTAGCATTGCGCATGAGAATCAAATGAAGAAGTCTTCTGGAAGAAGTTGATGGAAAGATCTCTCAGTCTCCATGCGGCTGCCTATTCCATGCGCGTCGAAAGTACTCGTACGCTTTTGTTACTGGCGAGATAGTCGATGTTGGAACTTGGAAGCACAAGAGGTCTAAAGTGACAGAACCTTGATGTTCTGGACTCCCCGCAGGCGAAAAAAGCTTGAAGGTGAGGCGCCCCCACATTTGACAGGCAAAAGACTGAAAATCGAAGGCTCAAGTCGCTCTTTCCTCAAGACAACAAGACATAATTGCACTTTCTTGAGAACAACCATCGCCGTCAAGATGGGCAAGAGAAAGCGTAACACTCAGGCGGCAGCACCGCAGAAGCAACAAAAGGCGTCGGACCTGCCAACACCCAACGACAGCGATGAAGGGCCTCTGGAGAATGTGTCGCACATCAGCGCCGTCACATCGACCGAAGAACTCGAACTGACCGTCGACACGCTGCGCACCCTGTCACAATACCCGGGCCTGATCAAGTCCAAGGCGTGCAAGGACCTGCGAGCAGCCGTCTACGACTTCCGGCAGGCGTGCAACACGGGCGTCAACTCGGCCACTGAGGGCACCAACCTGACCGCTCGCATCTCTGGCGCCCTGACCGATGCAAAATACACCGACGCGCTGATCCTCCTCGCTGAGATGCGCATCCGTGGCGAGACACCAAAGCTTGGCGCCCTCTGCCGTTGGGTGCGCGACTTGGACGTTGTCAGTGGCTTGTCCATGCAGCCCGAGGGCGTCAGCAAAGTCGTCGTGCCTCGCTCAGAAAAGGACAGGGAGCTGCTGCGAGTCCTCGACGCCGTCCTCAGAGTCACCGGTCCCACCGACACAAACACAAAAGACGCCCTTGACTCGACCGACCCCATCGCCCTCCAGCAAGTCTGGAACCTCCGAGACAAGACGCCCATCCAGACACGCCAGAGCGTCGTCGACAAGTCCATCTTCGCCGACTGCCCCAAAGACCTGCGCGACCGCTTCCGCATCATCGAGACAACCACAGGCCCCAATCGCAAGCCGCCGAACCTCCATCCCGCCGTCCTCTACGCCTCGCAAGACGATGCCATCCCACTTGGCCCCGCACCTGAGACGACCGTCTTCAAGCACCCCGTCGTGCCCAACCTCCGCCTGATCAAGGACGTCCTCACTCCCGCCGAGTGCACCAGCATCATCGCCGCTGCTGAGACGATCGAATTCATTCCCGACGCCCCAATCCGCGACGACGGACAAGAGACGAGTATTTTGGCACACAACTTCTACTGGATCGCCGACCAGGCCTTCCACGACAAGCTTTGGGAAAGAGTGCGTCCCTACGTGCCAGAAGAGTCACAGGGTCGCAAGGTTCGAGGCATCAACCGCAGATTCAGAGTGTACCGCTACGTGCCTGGTGCAGAGTACAGATGCCATATTGACGGCGCTTGGCCTCCTTCTGGCATTGACCCTGTCACCGACAAGTACCAGTACGACTCGTCTCCTGCTGATGCCCGCCAGTCGTCCCTCTACACCTTCCTGATCTACCTCAACGACGAGTTCGAAGGCGGCGAGACTTCCTTCTTCATCCCCAGCGTCCGTGAGGGCGTCATGAATGCATACCCTGTCAAGCCCATCATGGGAAGTGTCGCCGTCTTCNCCCACGGCGAGGCCCAAGGCGCTCTCCTTCACGAGGGAACCGGCGTGACAAAGGGTGCCAAGTACATCATCCGCACCGACGTCGAGTATGACGTTGTCCCTTCTACAAATTGATCTTGTCGTCTTTTGACACCGGCGTTTTGGATGGGGTCGGCGTTGGACACAAACACAAGATTGTACTTTCTCCTTGATATGACCAGATTGACACGACATGTAGGTAAGACTATTCACTCGTTGAACATTCATCCTTCCAAATTGTGCCGATTTACTCGTCTGCCTCCACTGTCGCATGTCCACCAACCTCCAGCTCGCTCAAGATCTGCGTGCCAACCACCCGTCCAGACGCATCTGAGAAGATGGCAGCGATAGCTTGCACGCCATGTATAGGCTCATACTTGTACTGCTTCCTCTCAACCTCCTTGCCATTTCTTTCCACCTTGTCCTCGTGGCCAGTGAAAGTCATGTCTTTGGCGTATGAGCCCACGACTCTGGTGCCAGAAACGCGACCGTCGTTGTCAAGATCTTGCTCGACAATGTCGCCATTTTGCTCGAGGACGCGATTTGTGTGTGAGTTGCCAGAAAAGTCGTTGATCGAGTAGAGGATGTTGTCGTCAATGGTGAACGAACGCTTGACTGCCTGGCTGGAGCCAGAGCTAGAACTGTCGCCGGATAGCAGTCCATCCACGGCGTCGTCTGTCTCATTGAGGATGTTGCCGACTCCCNNCTGACCGAGAGTAGCGATAATTGGGTTCAAGTCGAGCGATCCCAGAACATCATCAACCATCGCCACCAGATTCTCTAGTCTTGCTTCCAGCAGAACCTTCGCCTTGACATCCTGAATGAGCAATTGCACACTGTCAATCGAGAGATCCACTCCAGCATTAAATTGCAACAACTCCAGTACTTGTAGATCCAGGTTGATTTTTGCAGTCAGGTTGTCGACTTCAATGTCGATTTCTTTGACCGATACAGAGGCGTTAAGGAAGACGTCTGGGTCTGGGTATTCAGCGCTGGCGTTCTGACGCGTGTTTGCGGTCGAGTAGATGACTGAGTCGTCGTCGCCGCTGAGGGTGAGATTGTAGCCTACATAGCCGGCATCTGAGGAGGTTGCAGAAGAGGAGGCGGCAGAGACTGTAAGACTCAAGGCGAAAGCCAAGAGACAATTGCGAGTGAGCGACAGCATCGTTGTCTGCGGCGATATCTTGAAAGTCGTGAATCGAAAAGTGTCGCGACAAGCAAAGAGACAGCCCTCGCTCAAGTCACAACACACGGCACTTGTACAATCATCCAAGTGCCAACTTCTTGTATTCTAGCCTCTGCTCATCGCGTACAAACAATTAAGCGAAGACCTTCCCACCCTCGAGCGGCCCAGAAGATTGCGCCACGGCAAATGACAGCTCTTTGCAAGGTTAAGAACTTGGTATGCCAGCAACCTTGCAAGTAAGCGAACTGTACATGAAGGAGTAGTTGTTTCACCAAGCAAGCCTTAAAAGCCCTTCTTCAAAACTGCGTTGTGTCATTGGCTTGTGGGAGCGTCATCTCACGCTAGCAAAGCAGGAACATGTGTTCGGCAGCTGCATCTCGGCCGAGCTTTGCTAGGAACCGAAATTACAGAGTGATATGCGACCCGTCAGACGGCCTTGTATCGTGATGAGATGCCAAAAGTTGGCTGTGGGGGAAAGATTGTAAAGATGACTTTGTAGCTTGACTTTCCTGTCCTTTGACTGTTGTCTTCCTCTGCATCGCTCGAATATCCCAATTCCCAGAGAGTGCAGCAAGTCGCAGCCATGGCTTTCAGCACGATGTCCAGGCTTTTGGTATTCTTTGCTGTAACTATCTTCGCTCTACACGTTTCGGCCCAGACAGCCGCAACATCTCCATCCACCGCAACAGCACCCCGCACACTGTCCTCCGCACGCAACAGCACAAGCAGCACACGCACAAGTACTTCTCGCAGCAGCGCGTTCACACAAGGCGCAGCCCCAGATGTCTACCTCAACGTCCCCGAACTCCACGTCGGCCGCATCGAACTCACAGTTGAGAAATTGAGTGCAGATCTGAACTTGAACGCCAAAGTCGCAAATCTGGTGCAGTTGAATGCGGGCGTGCAGGTTGCTGTGGAAAAGGTTAATATTACTATTGCAGAGGTGGATGCAGAGGTTGAGTTGGTGGTACGACTTGGTAAGCATTTCCTGCATTGTCGCTTGATTCTGTTTCAAGACTGTTTGTACTGATGATTGAGTCTCTAGGTCATCTTGTCGATATTGTCGGTCGCGTGTTCGATTCCCTAGACTTGAACCCTCTTCTCATCTCCACCATCGGCAACGCAACGTCTCTAGTTGGCAATGTGGTATCCGATGTCGTGGGTGCTGTAGACGGTCTCCTCGGCTCCATCACCCAAGGCGGCAAAACCCTCAACTTTGTCGTCGACAATCTCGGAAACATCGTCCAAGAGGTTGGCGGTGTGAGCACCATTGTTGGCGATTACACGAAAAACATGACGCAGACTGGTACGAGCAAGAGTGTTGGCCAGGGACTGACTCAGAAAGAGTACTCGTATTCGCCGTTGAACGCTTTGGTGGATATTGTCTTCAACTCTGCCGGCCAGGTTGTACAGGCTGTTGTGCAGAAGAAGAATGGTGGAAGCAGCAGCAGTGGCAGCAGCAGCGGGAGTGCATCGAACTCTACAGTCTCTGCTGCTTCTTCGCTGAAGCATTAATCAACCAGGCTCGACAGTCAACCCTGAATTAAAGTTTTTCTTGGATGTAACCTAATTGATCAGCGTCCTCAAGGCGATCTGCTGTATGGGCGAGGCTTTGGCATACGAGAAACGTCGTTTTCAACTTCCAGTCACGGATGACTCCTGAGACATAAGAAGCCTTTCTAGGACTATCCTCTGTAGAGAATTGTACTGGGTTAAGGCCTTTGCAAGGTCCGATGGCGTCTCGCCAGAAATATTCTGAGCCTTGAGATTTGCGCCATTCCTTATGAGCGTTGATGCCATTGCTAATTGGTTACCGTATACTGCAATGTGCAATGGGGTTTCTTGCCTGTCGTTCCTAGGATCGCACTCGTTGCTTGTCTTGAAGTAGATTTCGAGAATCTCTTCCCGTGTCTCGCTATATTGAAAGTCGTGGTACGGTCTTATCAGATGATGAAGCCCTGTGTTCCCATCATCAGGGCTTGCTTCGAGCATGTCAAGCTTTCCATCCTTCAACCGCCGGAGCAACTGGGCAAAGTTTCCTGTCATCGCTCAGTATCACAAGCTGTAACCATTGTCATGTAGACTTACCGGAGTATGCTAACGACCATGCTGGAAGCGGAGTCATGAGCTTGGAATTCTTGGGACTCAGTTGTTGCGCCAAATCCTGTGCCTCAGCGAGGGTCATCCGATCAGGACCTGATCCGGACAGCGGCGGGCAATAAGTGTTATCGTGATCAAAAGCAGGAATCCGACCATATTGGCAAGCAATATCGAATGCAGATCTTCCGAAATGATCTAGAGAACTGATATCCGTAGCCCATGTGAGCAACTCTCGAGCTAGATGAATCTTGCCGAGAACCAACGCTAGATGCAGGGGGTTCGACCTCTGTCATCTCGAGACTCGATAAGGCCAGGCATGCGTTTGATGAGGAGAGTGAGATATTCAAGGTCTTGCACGTCTTCCAGACCAGTTATTATACGGTGTGCCAGCCCTTCACCACAAAGGTTCCTGATATTGAGATCAGCCCCGCGGTCCAACAGTATTAAGGTGATTTCAAGACTGTATCGCAGAGTCACTGCGTAGAAGATTGCAGTTTCCCCTTCCTCGTCTGCCTGGTTCACATCAGCACCATGGTCCAGCAGTAAGCAAAGCAGGCCTGAGTCGAGTAAGCGTGCACCAAGAAACTGCATGATACATGTCCGACCTCCAGAATCAACCGCATTGACGTTGCAACCTCGATGCTGGAGAATAAGTCTGGTAGCACTCAGTCGAAATTCAGGAGAATAATGTTCGTGAGTCTGATCGATCAACCACCAGAGTATATTTCTGCCAGTGGAGTCTGTTTCGTTGATGTCAAGATCATTACGGCCAAGCGCTAATCTCAAAATCTCGATCGATCCAAGCTGAAGGAGGAATGTCAGGAAAGGGACGATCTTGTTCTCTCCTGAAGTGAATGGCGTGAGCTCCACCGATGATGAGCGCAGGAGCGTTTCCACTACAGGCAGATGTTTTGACTTTATGGCCGCGTGTAAGACAGTAAGCTCAGCTTTGTGAGTGGTACTAGACCTGAGACTGGAGACCATATTCGGATCAGCGCCGGATTTCAAGAGAAATTCAACCGTGTCAACATGGCCCATTTCACAAGCATACGAAAGCGGCGTTCGGCCTGTAACAGGAGCTTGTCTGTTGAACTCAGTGGAAGGCATGCGTTGGAGTAAGTTTGTAAGACCAAACTGGGAGCAGACATGTACCGGCGCTAGGCCATGTCCAATGTCAATGCCATACGCCGTGTCTCCTCTCTGCAAGCCGAGGGCGGTCATGGTTCCCAGTGTGAACCTCTCCTTGTTCTCAAGATATTGCATAGCGATGCCTTCGATTCCAGACGTGGATGAACAGGCACGAAGATGGTGTCCCCACATGCAAGCCGCATAGTTGTACAAAGAAGTAGTGGCTTGGAAGTCACCAGCCGAATATGGAAGAAACGGCACTACTGTGATCTGAGCAAGAATCACTTCCGCTTGCAGTCTTTCGCTCCCCAGCAAGACTTGCAAGCATGCTATCGCCAATGTCGAGTGACCGGCAGGAAAGAATTTGTCTTTTTCTTTCCAAGATATCCAATCAGAGAGCTGTCGAAGAATTGAACACAGGGAGTTCCGCCCTTGTCTTTGACAACTTTGATCAGCTCCCCCTGACCATGTAACTATCTGCGATATCTCGAACACAGAAGATTCCTGGCACATGTTGATAACAGCAAGGAATTCCTTAACAGACAGTGGTCGAATTGTATGATAAACAATGTCCAAAGCTTTGGTGACCAGAGGTCCGCGCTTGCTGCTGGAGATGAGATCAAAGATATTGTCGTAATGAATCATCAACGCTGCTTCAGACTCCGATCTTGAGAGATTGTGCTGATTTATTGCCAGGAGCTCAAGATCAATCCGACGAGCGAAGTTACTGGCGTGTGTGGCACGACTATAGAGCGAATCTACATCAACAACAGTCTTCTCTTGCTGAACATCGGTAAGAACATTGCGATGAGAGAGATTCTGACAGCCCAAGCCGCCTTCATGACATGTGCTGCAAGAGTCGAAATTGCCGCCTTCGCATGTGGTGCAATGCCAGTACAACAACAGCTCTTTTTACCACAGGCACTGCAGCTGGTGGTCATGGAAGGGTTCTGGTAGGTTCGCATGGTCAGCATCAAGCTCAAATTTGCAAACCGAGGCCCCATAATCACAGTCCAGAGAGGTAGAGTTCCGTTGTCCCAGTAATCACCAACGTTGTCCAGAATAACATACACTCTTCTGAAACTGGCAAGTAGTTGTCCAAGAGTTTCTCTGATGATTTGCACAGAAGGGAGTGGTCCACCAGTCCCAGTCTTGCATAAGATATCCGAGATCCCTAGGGGAATCTCTTGTAAGCCACGCTGCCGGCGCCGATGGCCCAATAGTTGCCCGATGAGACTGGCAAGGAAGGAATGCGCTAGATCTGTTTGCGTTGCTATTTCTGGCATGAAGAGAGCAACAACGGCACTATCAGAGGGAAGCGTTCTCTCTATCTCTGCATGTACGGACGATGAAAAGGTAGACTGTGGAATAGTAGTGAGCAAAAGTTACCAAAGTTTGATAAACCATTTGGACATACCAGTCTACCCAAATCCGACCCGCAGCAGTACATTCGCCATAGTGGGTCGCCCGCAAGCCATGCTCGATACTCATCTCCGGTGATAAATCTCTCCCATGATGGAGCGTTCATGCTGGATACCGTTTGACTCGACGGCTGGCAGAAAGCATCTGGGGACAACCAGTCTAAGACTTCTCCAAATGAGTAGAGTTCAGGAAGCGAATCTTCTACCGAATCTTCGTCCGAGAAACTTAGATGCATATCCGAGTTTAAGGACTGTTCTCCCGACTTCGCCCTACTATGTGGGACAGCTTCGTCGCTTGCTAGATTGCTAAGTTCGTCGTCACCATCAAATATACTAGGCAGCGCAAAGATTGCGATCCTTTCCATATGATGAGCAATGTGAGTGGGGAATTGAGTGATGCATCCTGTTTCTTCGAGGCAAATCGGGCATTGCAGCCTAAAATCATCAGTCACCAAGTGAGAAATGCTTGCAAAGTCTCTTATGTTGTCGTCTGTCAGCCCTTCGTGAGATTCGCGGTGTAGATGATATTCGAGACTCTCCTGATTCAGGAACTGTAGAAGGGGATGAAATCGGCAGACCCATCTTCTTCTGTGTTGCTGCTCTTCGTGTTCAATCCACTCGCGCCTCGATGCGTAAAGGCGATCAGGGGTTGTGCAGGAGATGTATGTGCATACATACGGGGAGAGATCCTGGACAATGTGAGTCCTGGTCTCGTTAGCGTGGCAAGTTGGATGACCCCAAACAAGACTAACCTCCAAGCGCGACCGTTACCATGTCTTGCAGGACAAAGTACATGACAGTAGGGGCACACAAAGTCCCGATTGTTGCTCGCTGCAGCAGGTGGTGGTGGCAGCTCTGCAGGACGCCCTTCAAGGTCACGAGCTGTGGTTGCAAAGGAAATGATGGAATGTGTCTCAAGGGAGGTTAAATCAAGCTGAGGGTCGAAGTGTGTCGCTTCAGTTGCCGTAAGAATTGTTTTGCTATGGTGACTTTCAGATACATGCGTGTTGGCAAATACCTTCGGGCTGGGGTGCGCTTTGACAGGTTCTGGGACAGGTTCCAAAGCCAAAGCGTTGACGGTGATGGGTGCTAGTGGTTCAGTAGGCGTGAGCTTCTGAGCGTGCTTCTGCCAATACCTGAATTGCCTTCGGCGTGCTGTATTTGATTTTGCCAAGCGTTCGATCAAGACATGATCATCTTCGTCAAATAGCTGAGAGTCTTTCCGCAAACTTTTCAGAAGCTCAATGATATGATTCTTATCCAGAGGAGCAAAACCGTCGCCGACAATATCAAGGCCGGATGACGGGTCGATTTCCTTGTAATGAATTGCTTTGGTGGGCTTTGTGGTTGAGTTTCGAATCCGAAAGGACAATTTGTACAAATCCTTAATCAGGTCTTTTATCGTTTGTGTAAGATGAGACAACCCATTAATTGGCAGGCTCACAATCTCTAGGTCATCGTCCGAGGGAAGTGAGATGTCGTCTGGAAGATCATCATCGTCGGTTGCTTCGGCTCCCAGGACAACTCCGGGAGAGCCATGATGAACAGTGTCGAATGCTGGATCTCGATGAGGCACTAATCTACAGGTGCTGGTCGAGCAGAGAACCACTTACCTAGCTCCAGCGAACCTTGCAACTCTTCGAGAAGGCAGAAAACAGTTGAGCGCATCACGTCGGCGTCGCGCAGTCGCCAATCAAGGGCGCTATGGCCCTTGGCCATAGCTCCAAGGTTGCCTGTCCAGATTTTGAACCTGCCAAACTCCTCTCGCATGTCGTCGCCATACGACGTCTTCTTCGAGAGCGCGTCTTGTTCGAGCGCATGACAGACGCGAGCAAAGTCGCGCATGCACGACTCAGTGATTGCTTTGAGGGTACTCATCGCGCGAGGCCTTGCTTATTCGCGTGGGGTGGGATCGGTATATGCCCACAAAGCAGTTGTCCAACTGTTGTGACGTTGTCTATACTAATGTTTGAAATGTCGCGGACTTGAGTTGTCAGCTGGGTGTCATGTGCCAATACTCTTGACCAACCAGATGTGCTGCATTGCGGCATGGATGCAGCCACATACCTGCAGTCTCCATCAGCCTCTTGGCTGGACTGACACTCAGCCGCGCCTGGCGGTGAAAGGCCTAAACCTCGACGAACCCCTCAGACCAACACTCGGCTCTACATCCAATCTGTGGGCAGTCATGTCTGGTATCGAGATTGCCGGTCTTGTACTTGCTATCATCCCAATCTTCATCTCGGCGATCGAGCATTACGAGGATGGTCTTCGGCCTTACAAAGTGTGGAAGCTGACCGTCTACCGTCGGGAGCTGGCGCGTTACCGAATGAAGCTGAGGCTGCAATATGGACTGTACAATAGCGCCCTTGAAGAGCTCCTTGTCGACGTGGTACCAGAACAGGAGCTGCGCGTCATGATCGCCCAAGGATTTGGTCCAACCTGGAAGAACCTCGCACTCGAAGACAAGTTGAAGAAGCGTCTGGGGAGCGTCTGTGGCACGTACCTTGATGTCATGAAAGAGATGCAGGAAGTGATGGCAAGAATAGCTTCTCTTCTGGACCTTCAGAGTCAGGGCAACGTTTGTTGTGGCGCATCGCTGTTTGCAAACCCCGCTAATTGTATGAGTAGTCAACCAGGTNCTCAGCTCGAATCCCTTCTGCTCGCACATCCACCAAAGCACGGCACATTCCAAGCATCACATTCCGCTGTATACGAGTTTAAAAAGAGGCTGAAGTTTGGCTTCAGGAGTGGACAGATACAACCTTTACTTGAAGAGCTGGGTCGGTACAACAGCGCGCTCTACCAGTTCACTGAGAGTAGCAGACGCCTGGAAGGTCTGCGACCCACCCCGCCTCGGACAACTTTCACGACGCCCATTTACCGCGTTCGCGACTGCGCTGAGAGGTTGCACCAATGCCTTGGTCGAGTGTGGGCATGTTCCTTGCATGCGGACCATGTCATAGATTTGCAGCTCGAGTCTCGCTTCTACAAGCCCGGTATGCCAGAAGAAGCTGATGAGGAGCGCGTGCTATTTTCAGTCGCTTTCTTGGACAGCAAGCTTCTTAACCATTGGCGTTGTTTGGAGATCTATGTCCTTTCAGATGAACTTCAACACCCGCAGAAACCGACTGGTAGAGTCGGCTTTACCACAACCACACCCGCGCTTAGCTTTGATCATTCGACGCTGCCAACAATCCATTGCCTCTGTACGACTGTTTCAGCCCCACAAGGCCAAGCGCACCGTAGTCTTTGCCTTGACCATAATCAAAGATTACTCGGTGGCTACTCGATCACGCCTTGCAACACGCAAGGACAGCAAGATCTCAATGGATCCTCAACTAGCCTTGAGGAAGTTCTATCACTATCTGCCGCTTCTACGCGACCAAGACCGTTCAGTAGCAAGCAGGCGTATGTCCTTGGTCTGACGATCGCATCCTCATTCCTACAGCTTCGAGCTACGCCTTGGCTATGCGGATCATGGCGTGCGAAGAATGTTCTATTCATCAATGAAAGCGCGGCAAAATCCATTGACTTCGACAAACCTTATATTCGACAGACCTACCCGAGCTGTCACCAGCAACAAACTCCTACCCAAGCCACTGCAGGTGCCGATGACGCAGATGACAACTGTTCGTTCCTCAATCTCGGCATAATGCTGCTTGAGATCTTCTTTCGGGAACCTATCGACTCCCGACGGACACCTGCAGACTCTGGACCAAATCAGAGTTTCTCAGATCTACAGACCGTCCGAAGATGGGTTCAGCAGGACAAGGAGGAAATGCCAATCGGCTTCTACAAAGCCGTCTCCTTTTGCATTGCTTGTTTTGCAAATCCCAATGTTGATCTCCAGGACAATAGTTTCAGGCAGACAGTCGTTGATCAGGTCATTGTGCCTCTGAAAGACGAACTCAAGATTTGGAGTGCTTAGGCCTGGTCATGTCCATGACTGAAAGCATGTTCAGGGTTCGCGAATGTCTGCCAATCTTATGGCGGCAGTATGCAAAGATCTATCTTAGATAGCGCCAAATCCGGATACTCTGGACTGGTTCGGCCATCTCAATTCGAAGTTTCTGTCAAGGTATCAAACGACAGTCTAGGGTGTGCTTTCTGTATCTCCGACTCCTGGTGTCCTGGATGGGGTCGTGGTGTGGTTGTGTGTCGTGCAAGGGATTCTCCGCCGACCCTGTCTGGTGTCGAAGACGTCTGAAAGGCCAAAGAGCATTTCAGGGACTGGAAAGTACCACGAGAGACACCATGACCGATCGATCACGGTCTTGAAGGATTCTGACGAGGTTATGGCCGTAAGGTAACGCCGAAGGAACGCCTTGATACGCGGATGGTGTGATGTGATCTTCGTCGGGACTGCAGCCGCGATGCAAGTTCGGACCCTGGTGTCATTCTTGAATCCTATGCGCCGATCAGTTCTCTGTGAACCTATCCGTATGCCTCGCCGAACAAAGGTGTACGCTTGCCAGCGCCGACGAGGGTTCTTGATGCATTTGGAAGGAATCCGCTCACAGGAACAAGCCTCGCGGGACGATCCGCACTCAACCATCTCTTCCTGGAGATAGACTTGATGCATCATCGAACAGAACAATGATTTACCCAACCACTGCAACATATCACGCAGCGTCTAACAAGATGCGACCCATGGTGGCGGAAAGGATTCTTGATCGTTGTCGCACCTCATCTTTTAGAGTTCACTCACACATGAGGACCGGCGACCCCCGATACACGAACAATGACACCACAACAGGTGAGGCACAACGTCTCAGGCCCCTATAAAGGTCACGATTCTCGAAGGTCATCTTCCAAAGATTACTTCTGAACATCAAGTTCTGGACAAATCTCTTTTACGATATCATTTCCCTGTCATGGCACCTAAAGTTGGCATTAATGGCTTCGGTCGTATTGGCCGAATTGTATTGCGCAACGCATTGGAGACAGGCACTGTCGATGTCGTTGCAGTGAATGACCCATTCATCGACCCTGACTACGCTGTAGGCGAATCCAGTCCTCGTACATGGCTGAGAAGAATACTTCGACTGACAATGCTTTCTCATGAAGNNGTATACATGCTCAAGTATGATACCGTTCACGGCACTTTCAAGGGCAGCGTGAAAACCGATGGTCAAAGCTTGATCGTCAACGACAAGACCATCCGATTCTTCACCGAGAAGAATCCTGCCGACATCCCCTGGGGCAAGGCTGGTGCCGAGTACGTCGTGGAATCTACAGGCGTGTTCACTACGAAAGAAAAGGCTTCAGCACACTTGAAAGGTGGTGCTAAGAAGGTCATTATCTCTGCACCATCTGCCGATGCTCCCATGTATGTCATGGGCGTGAATGAGGAGAAGTACAATGGTGCCGACGTTATCTCTAACGCATCGTGTACAACAAACTGCCTTGCGCCTCTGGCCAAAGTTCTCCATGACAAGTACACCATTGTCGAGGGCTTGATGACTGCCATTCACGCTTACACTGCAACTCAAAAGCTTGTCGACGGGCCATCTAACAAGGATTGGCGTGGTGGCCGCGCAGCAGCTCAAAACCTGATTCCAAGCTCCACCGGAGCGGCGAAGGCAGTTGGTAAAGTAATTCCCGATCTTGCAGGCAAGGTCACTGGCATGTCCGTTCGGGTTCCCACTGCCAATGTGTCCCTGGTCGATTTTACCTGCCGTCTGGGATCGGATGTCTCATATGAAGAGATCAAAACTACCATCAAGGCAGCTGCCGATGGTCCTCTCAAAGGTACCATCATACTATGGAAAACTCGACTCTGATTGAAGCTGAAATATCTACTATAGNGCATTCTTGGATACACCGAAGACGACATCGTATCATCAGACATCAAGACTGATTCTCATTCCTCTACATTCGATGCGAAGGCTGGCATTGCCTTGAATGATAGGTTTGTCAAGGTTCTGTCCTGGTATGATAACGAGTGGGGTTATAGCAGACGTGTGGTGGATCTTCTTGCCTATGTGGCCCAGAAAGATTCGAGCGGCTAGCAACGTGGTGATCTACTGGACTTGCAAATAGGGGAGAAGTTTTCAAGTATATTGAAGTTCAGAACGAAGAATCGTCTACACTAAGTCCTTGTCGCCCTATAGGCCAGTGTGCTGCGCGTCTTGTGAAGGAGGTGCAGTTTCTCCCCTTGTGATTTCACGGCAGGGAGAGAGGTTTCATAAAGACTTTCGCTGAGAGTGCCATGTATCAGGTTCAAATGATCATACTCGGACTTTAGTTCTGCCCTGTTTCTCTTGTTTTACATGAGGACAACTTGGAGATTCTCATCAATATTATATCCGATGGATGAGTACGTTCCCAACATGAATCTCAATGGGGGTGTAGAAAGCCGTGACCGGCCCGGTTCAGGGCCTGAGCCTCCGGCGTTCGAGGAAATACAAGGGTTCACTTTCGCAGCAGCAATCACCTCAACTCATCATCGCTCACTCAATCGTCGCAAGCAAATTGCACAGCTAAGTCCATCTGCCTCATTCGGATATACCACATCGTCATCCGTAATCTTCGTCACAATGTCCGAGTTCTTCGAGGCGCACGATCCTTCAGATCCTGCCTTTTACGGCCCATCACAGACGGCACTGCTTCTGCTAGATTTCCATAACCTCTTGGTTGAGAAACTCGGCGGTCCGTCTGCACCTGCAGCACTTGATACCGCGGCACGACTCAGATCTTGGGCCAAGTCTCGCGGCATCGTCGTCATTCATGCCCTCATCGACACAAACNGCATCGCCACCCCCGACTGCCAAGGGGCTGAGCGACTGACCCAGATCATCGCAACCATGAAAGGCCAAGACGGAGAAGAGGCTCCAGTACTCTCCCAAGACACTGATACCAACGACCACACCTTCCTGCGAACCCCGGGATATGTTTCCGCACTACAATCTCCCGGACTATTGGATTTCTTGCGTGGCAAAGGCATCAAGTCGCTGATCATGACTGGCTTGAGTACCTCGGGATGCGTTCTCAGAACAGCAATTCCTGCAACAGAGGCGGACTTTGTTGTGACAGTTGTCAGCGATGCTTGTGCAGATCCGGTCGAAAGTAATCATGGTTTTCTGATCGAGAGGATTTTGCCATCCAGAGCACATGTCCTTACGGCCTCTCAAGTACTTGCTATGTATGGCGACAGATCAGATGCTTGAATGAGATTGCGCTCAGGAATTATTTCGTGTAAACAAACCAAGACAATGAAAGCGGATACGAGATGCACCAAAGAAATGGAGTGACGCCTGAGAAGACTTCGGTACTCGAAGTTGTACAGTCAAGTGATTTAATGCATTGAGCCCAGACACTAGAAAACAAGATAACGATATGTGCCAAGCTAGATTGATACTAAGACCAGTCGACACAAACCATGGCAACTAGATCAGACGGTGACGCCAAAAGTTCATCTCCCTGGCATGATGTGTACCGGCCTCGATACATACGCTTTGCTCCTTGAAACGACGTTGTGTTGATTTGATCAAAGTATTCAGGATCCTTCAGACAGATCCTGAATTGTCCGCGCACGACCAGGCCGATGTACCGCCATCTGAGTCATAACTGTGGATGATAGAAACAACAGAGCCGTAGGTGCCGGCAACCATAAGGAACATTCCTGAAACAATGACGAAGACACACCAGCAGACCATCAAAGTCCACTTGGTCGTACGCTCACTACGCCAATTGTCATAAAGCCACATACAACCGTAGGGCTGGAAGGAAAGCAGGGTACCAAGGAACGCGCCGATCAGTGATACAAGACCTCCGAAGACGGGTATGGCGCTGGCGATGATGTAAGATATGATGATGGTGCTGGCCGTACATCCAAACCAAGTTACCCAATGGACGACAGTGTTCTGAGTGACGTGCTTCGTACCGCGTAGTATTCGAAGGAATACGTACTTTGCTNNGGTAACTGGTAAAGAGTTAGTGCGCGCTTCTTATGTTCCCCAGGTTCCCACTTACGTGTGATAGCAAAATGGTGCTAACGCAGAGCCTGGCAAAGCCAGACCGTAGCAGACTTTCTTCATGGTCGTTCCGGCAGATCCTAGGGCAGGAGATGCGACGTATGATCCACAGAAGTAGTAGACCACAACGCCAATGGCGATGTATATAGCTGTCACGACGGATTGGCAGATTATAAGCGACCGAGTAAACAGACGAGGGTCTCGCATTTCTGAAGCGATCGGGAAAAAACCAGGTGTGCCAGCGTATGCAAATACCAAGGATGAGATTGCTGAAATACCGTCCTCGAACGAGGGGCTGCCAACAATCTTGTAGTCTGATTCCCAGGGCCCGGTTTGAGGAGCTGCAGCTGGACGGCCTCCGACCCCGACAGCAACCGTCAAGGTCAAGACTGCAATTCATTAGTCAAATTTTGGGAACTTGTCTGTTCAACGTACTTGCTGCGATGATTGCCAGGACTCCCACCCAGGCAAGCCAGGTGATATGACCAAGAGTTTGGATACTGCAAAGATGAAGCCGGTGACAGCGGCAACAGCAACAAACACTGCGGTGCATGCACCGTGAGTCGAAAGCGCATTGAGTGCAATCGAGATGCTGAGCATTCCTGAACCAGCAACAAATACCCAATCTGTACAATCCCTGTCAGCTCTACACGGGAGATTGGTCGAGCTTATCACTACNTTACAAAGAATATAGGCAACGCCCATGAGTTCGCGGCCGATGCTGCCAAACAGCAGTTGGCCCACATCATCGATACCGTAGACTTCAGGGTGTCTCAGCTTGAAAGCACCAACCATGTAATTTGACCATGTTGTTATGACACCAATAACAAGAAGGCAGATGATGCCAGGTATCATGCCGAGGATGTCGAAAACTGCTGGGATCGACAGAACACCCAGTCCGATCTGGGTTTTCATCATAAGGGCAACAGTTCCAAGCCATCCTACCTGCAGTTGATCAGTAGTTGCAGATGGAGCAATGTTTAGTGGTCATACATCGCGATAGTTTGGGCCATCTTCTCCGATATTTCCAAAGACTGCATCACTCTGTGGATCGAGTATGGCAACTTGCCCAACATTGTGAGAGTAGATCACACCAAGACTGTTTTCGGGCTTCTCTTCAAGTTTCAACATGTGTGGTTCCATGCTGTCGGTCATGATTTAGTAGCGAAGATGGAGAAATGAAGAGGAGGTAGGCAAGTAGGTCAGCAATACATTCATTTTGGGAAGTTGTATCCATTATATCAGTCACGTGAACGGATGTCGCAAAGCCTCCCGAGTGCTATCTCCCCTGACTCGAGCCGTATGCATGCTACGTGCTAACTTGGCATGTAGAGCTCTGATATGTTCTCTCATTTGTTTGAGCTGGATCAAGATCTTGCTGCGGCCTTCATGTCCAAGTCGTTCCCAGGCATGAGGTATCTCCTCAGCTTTGATGCGTTCCATCAGAATATACGTACAGCTTTCGTGCATGAATGAACAGTACACTTTCGGTACTGGTATAGACGTGTTCTCCTTGATGGATTTTTTGGTCGCTACCTCAGTCAAGTCGACCCAAGGTCCAGTCTTGATGATCAACCTACGCGAGATGGGACTGCAGAACCCATCAGATCTGTGGAATTTTGCCAGAGTCTTGAGCGCTACTGGTGAAGATGCGATTCAGTTGGCTGTTGTTTACGGAGAGGTCCTCAGCGGGTTCGCTGGCGGGCGCGTCGTCGCTAGCCGCCGACGACTTTTCCGTCATGATCGTCGAAGTTGCTCAACGCGATTATATCGCGGCAGTACATTTACGAAGACAGCTGCAGCATGAACAGAATATGACATTACTCCATGCGAAAGTTGCTTGATGAACGAGAGCTGATGGACGATGGCAGGGCAAGCTAGGGTGGACGAGTTTCGGATTCCAGAAGGCCATAAGTATTGGCCATATTCACACCGTCCTGTCTGCACACGAGCTACGTAATTGGTAAAGTCTTGGCAGCAGCCAAGATAAGCCCGTCCATCACAGTCTCCGTCGATCATGCCTTTGCAACAACAGGCAAGAATCCCTGAAGATCATCAATTCGGAGCATTAAATCATGTCGATCTCAAACTCTCGCAAAGGTGAGTTTGGAAGGTCAATAAGAACCTCTTGCATCGAGTGGAAGCGCTCTGGCTTTCCCTTTTCCTAATATTCTTGAACCTCGACTGTACAAAGACATCAACAACATGGTTGCTAGTACTGGTGTTCAGGATGACATACATGTCGTCTTTATCTCGTGTCCCTTGTACGTTCATGCAACGCGAAACATCATCGACAATGTGAATTTCATCCCGCTCAAAGGCCTCGCAGAATACGATCCTGACAATTTGTCAGTGACGTTTCCGGAAAGGGCACTTCAACCTCTAGATGAGACTCTTGCATTGTGGGATATCGAGCATATCTTCTTTGGAGCATTGCATGACCAATTCGAGGTATTGAGGGATATCATTGAGTCGCCTGAACTGAGAGACAAGCGTGTTGTGGTTGTTTCTGACTGGCTGGTGACTGGAACTTTGCCGATATCATTGAATAGTCCGCATGTCCGCCAAGTCCCTGTCATCGCAATAGGGCACAGTGTCTTCTTCGGGCTGAGCAAAGACTGCGCACCGTTCGGGACGGGACTACCGCCACAAAGCGAAGAGCGAAATCTGGAATTGAACGCCATAACCAAGGAAATGTTCGGCAAAGTCTACGCTGGAGCCAAGCATATCATGGCANGGTACGAATGTTCAAGTGGCCTTGAACATGAGTTTGTGGTCGAAGACATGATTTACTCCGCGGATCGCTTCTTCCAACTTTGCGTGCCTCAGCTGGAGTATCCGAGGTCTGACTTGCCGCCCAATGTCGAATTTACTGGCGCTTTGCTCGGCAAAAATGACAACAAGAGCGAGCCGGATTGGTTTGACAGTTTTGTTCGTCAAGGTGATGGGCGGCCGCTCGTTGTGGTCACATCTGGAACTGCAGCATCTGCTGACGTGGAGCAACTGATAATGCCGACAATCGAAGCCTGTCGCTCGCTCCCAGTAAGAGTCGTCGTCTGCGCCGTCAATCTCACCCTACCCAAGGATATCTCGATGCCGGAGAATGTAAAGGTGGCTAGATGGATACCATTCGAAGAGCTTTTCAAGCATGCCTCTCTTGTAGTTTCCAACGGAGGATTTGGCGGCATTACCCAGGCGTTCGCGGCTGGTGTACCTATGATTCTTGCAGGTGTCACCGAGGACAAGATGGAGACTACCGCTCGTGCTGCAATGACGGGAGCTGCGATTAATCTTCAGACACAAACACCTAGTGCAGACCAAGTCAACCAAGCGATCGAGACGATGACAGCGGAAGCGGACTATAAAGAGAACGCACTTGAGCTGAAAAGGGTGTATGCTTCGTATGACACTCTAGGCATTATCGAGAGGGCCGTGAGAGTAACAGCCAAGGCCTGAGCTCTAAATTCCAATCGCAAGGCAGTTACACACGAAGCTCAAACAGAGATTGGTCTGAAACATCGAAAGCATGCCGACGAATCTGTCAACTGTTGTGTCTTCGACCGGCCCTATGTCGCTGTCTCAGCATGAACATGAAGCCACTTGCAACGACATAAGAAAGACCAATGAACAACTGCGGGTATAGATATGGCCTTGGCGATTTCGGACGTCTGATCTTGAGTGCAATGACTTCGGAGACTGATTGGCGATAGTCAGTACCTCATCCAAAACGCCGCGTTTGTTTGTATGTAGTCAGAATACTCACATGTGGTTGGCAAAATGGCTGTGATCCATGACAAGGAAAGAAGGGATTGCAGATCCTTGAGCTCTACGAGTTCTGCGCACACTGGACCAAGGGTCTAACACGCTGTCAGCCAAAGCTCGCAATCGCAATAGACGTTATTGTCAACACTTTGTACTTCAGAGAGAAAAGCGCAAGACACTCACCATCCAAAAGACCCCCAGAACTGCCCCAGCGAGCAATGCGAAAACCACCAATAATGCGAACCCCTGTGTTGGAATCCAGAAGATGAAACAAATCAGTCCACAGAACAGTGTCAAGATTCCTGCGACATCAAGTCGACTCGATTTGTCGCTGGCGATACCGACGATCGGCCGTCCAACAGCAGTACCAATGTTGAGGAACCCTACCACGTTTGTAGCCTGCTGTCGAGACAGACCGATTGCAGTTGCGTAGTCGGAGAGTGAGAAAAGCAAGGCAATATAGCCAAGCATGCTAGTAAACGTCCATGCGAGCAGGAGAAGCACATCCGGGCGTCGAAGCAGATTTACATCGATGGCCAACTGAGAGGGACGGATGTGCTTGTTGCGATCGCGAATCAAGGAGATAGCAAGAGCGATCAGAGCAGATGTTATGATCCCCATAATGCATAATACCCACTGTACGCCCAGAGCATCGATGATCGCACCTGTAGACCAGGTAAACAACGCACCTCCAACACCAGACCCAGCGCTACTAATCCCATTTGCCAGACTCCGGCGCGATTGAAACCACTGCGAAAGCACAGGTAGACTAGGCACATAGATGAATCCAATTCCAAGGCCTACCAGAAGCCCCTGGGAGAGATACAGCTGCCAGACATGGTTGGTGAAGCCTGCCGTAACATATCCAGTCGTTTGTAGTACGAGACCAACACACATGGATGCGTGCATACCAAAACGACGCACAAAGACCGTGACTGCAGGAGCTGCAAGCATAGCAAATGCAAAATTGAAGCCACCGATAAAGGCGAAATCGAGATCGGAGGCATCGGCGAAGCGCTCGTCGTCCAGATAGTAACTGAGGTAGATGCCATAAGACTGGATTTATGATCAGTATGGAAAGAAATCCAAGCTCAAGCGTTGGCCTCACTGATACTGCGCCCCAGGTCGAAAAGTTGAGCAGAAAGCACGAAGCTACACATATCCAACCGTAGCCCCCATCTGGAGGCAGATGGTCGTCGAGAGCAGACATAGTGTCGGGATCAGTGCAATCTGTCGAAGGTTTTCAATGCGCTACCCTGGACTTGTTCAGTACTGGCTCTGGCTCGCTCAGAGCCGTGGCAAGACGACTGATGGGCGCGACCGATCAATAGAAACATTGAGGGTCATGTACGTTTTCATGTCTCAATATTGGGCTATGCGCATGGCTCGTGTGTCTTATCTTGAACGCAGATTTTCACGGTTAGTCAAGTGTGCATCTGCTCAGCGTTCTGCGGTTGTGCTGCTTGCCCACGTGCTGATGATCGAACATTATTGCCAAGGATAGACGCCGATATGGATGTCATCCTGCGTCGCTGACTGGTCAAACGTATGTCCGGCAGATTGCGACATGTTGATCTAACCCGATGCTTGATTCTACAGCAGCTGTCTGCACGAAACTCATGATGCCTGCTACGATTCTCCCGAGCAATGACTTGGTTCATTCGACAAAGTTCAACGCACCATGATAGATGGTAATGTATCATGCTTACAGAATAGCGACACCATTCGGCGGACTTGCGACACCTCCAGGAACGTGGATGGGCATGCTGCTGAANAAGAAAGACCATTTGTTCTTGTCTTTACACTCTTTCGCCAGCCTATCCAGGTCAAAGATCTCGCCGATGGGTAGGCCCCACCCAGCAAGCAACCACTCGTGCAGCAAGTACTCGGTGTTCTGACACGGCCATGCCTCAAAACTGGGTTGATCGCCGGCAACAGCGGCGAAGCCCTTNTCCCACATCCAGCGCACCGTCTTCTCAGACGACTCTACACCGATGGCAGGAGGCGGGTACGTTTCCGACAGCTTTGTACGTGCTTCGGAAGACAGCTCCTCGTACGCGCCTGTCCAGCCTGTGCGAATGAACAGGATATCCCCCTCTTTGAATTGCACTCCTTGGGCATGCGCAACTTGGTCCAAGACATGCACTGTGATGGGTGTAGTCTGGAAACAAGCCTCTGCACTCCATATAGCCTTTTCCTCGGCCCAAGACTTGTAGTCGAGCAAGACGCCTCGTCCCACAACACCGCCATTCTCAACCCAGACGTGTATACCATTCTTGTCTGACCCCAATACATCTTCATTGGTGCAGTCATTATAGTATCTCTTCTCTTTCTGATATCCATAGTGTCTGAAGCCATCCCACTGAGAACTGCTCTGTGTGTTGAAAGTCACGGTATCGTCGTTTACGCTGCGAGGGGCTTTGTTGATGATGGTGTGATTGAAAGCGATGCGATTGAAACACGGCGGCGACATTTTGTTCAGCGGCCAGTCGACGGAGATGCGGATGCCGTGTTCGATTTCTTTTGCGGCCGAGGTCGTGTTGGAGGGCGTCAGGAGGTTGAGCATGCCGAGCTCGTCTTTGTCGCCCCAGAAGCCCCACGCATTACCGTGAGGCCCATTGCGGTCGAGAGGAAGAGACGAGAAGTCAGGACGTGTAGGCGGCATCGAAGCGCAGGAGATTGAGTCGTGGTATAGAAGCTGCGAGGGGCACAGAGGTGTTTTTGTTGACTGTGACGTGTGCGGGGTAGCTCTCTGTTTTCCGACGGGCTTGTGTTTTTCCGTTGGACGCTTCTGCTTTTCCGCCATGGAACATCACCATCTCATCGCGTCCAATTCAACCGACCGCTTCGCAGAAGAAGTTGCAGAAGAGACGCTGAGGAGATCAGACCGATCAAATTCAGTAAGAACTTTTCAATTCCAGGATGAGGATGCCCTAGAAGCTTGATGACCATGAGGTCTGGCAGCAGCTAGCCCAGAAAGCAGAGCAGCAGTTTGGTTATGTGGGATGCGAAGTGCCATTAAGTGTAGACTGGTAGCGAGCGTATATGCACCAAAAACAATGAGAGATCGGAATTTGTGATGTCTACGACGTATCGATTGAGCCGACTTGGGATCCGTGACGTAGCGATGGTCGCCGCACAGTGAAGATGGAAGACTCAAATGCCTGCAACACTAGGAGAAGATGATATCTCAAAATACGTGGAGTATATACAGCGACTATCACACGATGACCGAGGTTCCTGACCCTCGGTCAATGCTGCACTTTTCGCATGATCAGAACAGCCTCGCTCAAGTACGTCCGTATGCTGCTATTACCAGCAGGGCGCGGCCGCGAACCCAACTCGCCCTGCGAAGAAGATTCCTCTGTCGAAGGATCGCCTCATAGACAACTAAGCTCGTGACAGTCCTTTCATGCTGTTCTGAAGAGACCGTAGAGCATGAACGCCAAAGGGAAAGGACCAGCATAGAATAGTAGCACCCGTTCAAGTAACGTGAACGGATTCGCAAGAAGTTTGATAACCATGAAATCGGGAATCAGGAACCCCATGATAGCAAAAGGTATCACTGCTAGAGTGCCTGCTGGCTGGATGCGGCATGCCGTAAAGTAGAGAGAGGTAGAGAGAATATATGCAAAGAGGACGATAGGTGTTCGGGATCTCTTGGATTTTGAGCTGTCGCTTGTCTCGGAGAGCTTCTCCAGAGATTCTGATGACGAGATTGATTTGGCGCTCATAGTGCTTGAGGTGGGTTATAAGGTAAGAATGAGAATAATGTGACTGCAGAGGAAGAGCTGAGGTATGTGTGGGCAGATAATGATAATCAACCTAACCACGGCCCTCGGGACGAGCATCGGTTTTTAAACCCTTGTGGCTACTAATGAATAGTGTCTGTAAAGCGACCAAAGGTTCCAGGCTTCTAGTGAGACCTGTGAAGATCAATAGACACCGCAACGCAGGTACAGCAGGTTATTTTCACAGTAAAACCCCGCGCAATGCCGTGCGTTCCGCAGTATCGAAAGTGTATTATTCGAAAACCCGTCGTATGCATGGACTCTTTACTTTGATAAGCCCTTCGTTGTCAATCATGCGGGGATATCAATTTCACTGCAAGAGGTAGCTTGAAAGTAAGCAAGATGAGCGTGGATCGGCGAGGACCGGGAATAATGCTTCACCTGACCGTAAACGAATCATTTACGGCCGAGTGACTGCGGGTCGTGCCGGCGTTCTTGAACCAGACTTTTCGGACAGGGACAACTGTCTAACCTGGCCAGCGAATACAGTCGTATATGGAATGTCTCAATCCTCGAGAGCCCTCATGGAATCGGATTGCTTTGTTGGGCGCGATGCAAACAGTATCTAACTCGCTGTTGTCCTCTCTTTACGCAGCGAGACTTGACAATGTGATCACGCAGCGACCGGCCAGGGGACATGGAGACAAATGCATGTGTGCTTGATTGATGTGCTTTCTTTCGCATGAGAAAACATACTTGATACCAGACTTGGACGCCGGATCGACATGGCTTAAAGTCTGCTGGCTCTTGTCATCCGACGACCATCGGTGCCCTGGATCCTCGTGAGGACTGTGTCTCATGGATCTTCAATGACTGTCGCTTAAAATCCATGACATGATGCAGCTGCCACTTATCCCCGGTAGGAGATTCACGTCTATTTCTTTTGCTCAAGACCGTGTATCTTGACAGTGCGATCGCCCGCGAGACGAAGTCAAACGTTGGTAACGAGAACATCTAAGAGCAGACCGCCGACCTTGGATCGTCCTACGTTACCGCAGGCCCCAATCGTCGCCGAGGTAATGTGTACACAAATTTCTCTGCATTTCTGGAGGTCGAACCGTATTCGTATGACTTGTTACTTAGCTGCAATAGATTGCAGCACAAAACGACAACACTTAACGCAGCACAAAGATAACTTAAACCGTTTGCCCACAGCCTGGACATGAGGTACTTTGAAGACGGATGGATTTGAGCCAGTAAAGCCTCTGGAAGAAGCTTTGATAGAGAATCCTTCGCGCTGCACCACTCACTAGCCGATCATCTCACTAACTCTCGCTGAATGCCACTCCATGAGGAATCGCCAATCAGCTACAACATGAAGCATGATCCTTCCGTGGGCTGGTTACCAGTATCTGACGCCATGACATAGAAGGATCACGCTTCCACGAAGCGCCGTCTTGAGGGCTTAATTACAGGGGAACATATAATAAGGACCATCCATGCCCTCCTGGAAGTCATCTTCACAACCACTCCTATCACATCATCCAGAGCATCACTTTATTTCTCCCTCTTCCAATGAAGACTATCGCTTCTTTCTTGACCCTTTTGGCAGGGGTTTCCAAATGCTTTCGAGGTGCAATTCTATACCGGTGAGGGCTGCACCAGTGCCCTCGACTATTCAGGCACATTCAGTTATCAGAAAGGCAACTGTCATCATGTCACTATAGACAACGCAGTATCTGCTGCTGTCGTTCAGAGCAGTGGTGATAAGCTCAGCCAATGTACGTTTGTTCACTTCATATGGTCTTTGATGTTTTTCCTGACAAACATCGCAGCCGTTGCATTTTACTCCTCTGCAAACTGCGATCAGAAGAATATCGTGGCTAGCACAAACGACGGATGCGTTGGGACTCTGAACCCTGTGGGATACGAAAAGAACGAGTACTACTTTTCCGTCGTCCAGAACTACAATGACAAACGTGAGGAGGGAACCAGTATCTCTCATATCGATCCGGACCTCGAGACCATCCGCAAACGTTCTGCAGCAGAAGATCAAGCATTGATGGATGCAAATCGTAACAGCAGTGGCAGTTTGAACCCCTTGTGGGACCCATTGGCGGTCCAGAAATCTGGTACGTACCATGGTGATGTGGAGGAAGATGTCCTCGGCTACAACATCACCGTCCGATGGTGGCAAGCTGCGCAGGTATCTTCATCGGTGTTCCACCCGATGAATGGGATGATAGTGTCCACGTTGCGAGTGACGAGTGGATTCCCTTTGGAGACACTTATCCTTTCGACTACACTACCAGTCAGAGACACATCAACGTTGGCTTGGATCCTGCCGCGGATCTTGATGAGCTCGCCAAAAGAGCTGATTTCAAAGGCATATGTACAGGAGTTGGTAAGTGTCGTTTCACCGCAGAAATAACATGTGCTCACGATCATAGCTACATGCAGTCGTATTCTCTATTCCAGCAGTACAGCTGGACTGACGCAGGCGTGGGGCGGTATTGTCAATGTCGCCGTCGCGGCCAGGGCCCAGTCATCCACCTATTATTCCAATGTTGTTGATTACCTCCACGGTAAGGACAAATAATCTATACCAGATAACGAATGGTTTGAATTGACAAATCTCAGCCCACCCCGTAAGAAGTGGTATCGTCATAAGCGGTACTCTGGGTATCGGCACTGGTCTTGCGGTACACGCAATCGGGCAGAAGATTTCTGGTAAGGAAGCGGCGAGCTGCACAAACAGCATCACGACTACCGTAATCGAGACTGTCACGTACACGGTTCGAGATACCGCAAATGTTGCTCAAGCACGGACTTCCTACGATTCCACTGGAAGCACACTCATTACTGTCGCAGGTGCGTGGGCGCCTGAGAAGAAATTGGACAAAACAAGTTATTGTGGAGCCGATGCCACTGCATCAAAAACCAAACGATCTTTGATGGCGTACTTCCAATCCCTCGCGAAGTCTCGGCTGTAGGACGCCGAACCCCGTGGATTCTCATCTTCATCATGTCGCAATGGCGTGGAACTGAGTTAGCTCATAAGAGTCACGTATTTCTGACAGTTGGTGACTTTATAGTGGAAGACAACTTCGAGAGAACAAGCAGACTCGGACTTATTGAGGTTATCTTCAAAGCTTTAGGTCGTGCTTGCTAGATATATCATAGTTATATTGTTTTTCTTATTGATGATAAATTCCCGAGCACACTTGTGAGAACGCAGTCGGAGGTGGTAGATGGTATGGAGCGGCTAACTAAGCAGCCTCTACCGAAGTATTGCCGACTAAATCATGCAGATGGGAACACCCTGCTTAGACAAACTTACTGTCCTACATGAACCGCATGACCTTTGTTACCCGTGCTGAGACCATTGCTAGTGTTTCTCGACTCTCAAGGCGCCTTATCTCTTAACAATGGGAACGTAGCCAATTTTACAAGAAGATCTAATGCCTAGAATCGCTGATACTGCTAAGGCTCCAAAATTCTAACACTCTCGTCTCTTTGCGCCAGTGTCGCGCTTTGTCACCGATTAGTCCAGAACAAGAACAAACCCAAGGGGGGAACCGAGTAATGCTATGCTATGCATCCGTGCATCCGTCCTCACAATGCTTCGCCCTCTGAACACATACCATAGCCTAGTCTTCGAAACTTGATAGGCAGTCAAAGTTGCCACGTTGCGTGTGTATATTTAAGAGCGTCCTAGTCGGAGCCTCCAACTATGTAGCCCGTATCAACCAGTAGCCTGAGCTAAGTAGTCCCTTTCATGCCAATGAAGAGTTGAGATAAAATAGAGGCAATGGCTACGCAGGGACTGGCATGGCTTGCAAGCCACGAAAGCCAAATTGTCCGAATCCTGGGGGGCTCAATATTGCTGTCCCGAACAACATGCGGCTCTGAAAACATTCTTCGCGCCAACTGCAAGATAAGAGCGTAAAGGCTTACCATGAAAATCTTCTAGAAGTGCTTCATGATTTCTTTAATATGATGGATCCTCCATGCATGGATGGTTGTTCAAAGTCACCCATCGTCTGGAGTCGCTGGCGGCCGAGTCTGGACGTGTCTCTGTCGCTTCTTCGCACTCCATCTCGTCCTTTCCTCACCCAAGATCCTACGCATGAGCGTCATCCTAAACACAGAAATCAAAATCCGCACCGAGAACCCAAGCCACATCTTTCATCGAGTTCTATCGAATCTGGTGAGTTTACCTCACGGATGACCCTCTCCGTCTTGCCGAAGGTACGTCATAGCAGATCGTCACGATAAGGTTTGAGCCCCCGATGGCCCCTCCGCGACCCGGAAACGGCCCTCGCTCTCTTCCGGTCACCAAAAACACACCCTTTCACACCTTTTCTCACCAGGATCTCATCGATCTGCGCGGTTCTGGTTTCCATGTTTGACTGGTGCTTCTAGCTCCCAACTCAGAAATTGTGCGACCTTCCGCGGCTAACTAGTGATCTGATAGGCTGGGCATGATGTTTTTGTTGGTGGTGATATCATCATTTTTCTGTCACACACAAAACTCGTGTTCTTCTTCAACACTTCACTTGGTATATAGTGAGGCCGTACAAGTGTAATTGTTTCCTCACACCACTTGCTATCCATCGATCTGCAATACCGGGTCTTACCTGGCACGACTACCAACCATGCCTGCCCTGTTTGTTGACACGACCTTCGGGTTTCTCATGCGCAACATCTCTGGCGGAAGATTTTTCCCATACGAAGATACCTACAATGAAGAGCTCCGCGAGGAGTACTTCAACCAAGGAGACATCAAAGAAGAAGAACCTTCTGATGACGAGGAGAAGAACGGTTCCAAGGGAAAATACAAGCTGATCGAGTTCAGAGAGAACGATCCTGATGTACGCCGTGTTGACGTCCGCTCAATATGCACATAGACTGACTTGTCGCAGAACCCGCAAAACTGGTCTACCTTCAAGAAGTGCTTCGTGACCTTCAACATTTGTTTCTTGACAACATCCGTATACATTGGTTCCGCCATTTACACCTCTGGTCTACCCTTCCTGACTGAGGCCTTTGGCACGTCGACCGAAGTCATCACCATCGGTCTTACTCTCTATGTTCTGGGTTATGGTCTTGGTCCCATGATCTGGGCGCCTCTATCCGAAATTCCTCAGATTGGCAGAAATCCTATCTACATTGGAACGCTGGTTGTATTCGTCTTCTTCAACTTTGCCGTTGTGTATGCAAAGAACATTGGCATGCTCTTGGCTTTCCGTTTCCTTACCGGTTTCTTCGGCTCTCCCGTACTCGCTACTGGAGGTGCTTCGTTGTCGGATATCTTCCCTCCTAACAAGCGTGCATATGGCCTGTCCATCTTCGGTATTGCCAACATCATGGGACCATCGCTTGGACCTGTTGCTGGCAACTGGGCAGCTCAATACGAAGGATGGACTTGGCCCATCTGGATTCTCATTTGGATTTCCGGTGCTTGCCTCATTTTTTTGATTTTCTTCNTGTAAGTGCTCGTCTTGTGCGTGTTGTTCAGCATCTAGATCAAAACTGACCGTTGATCAGTCCCGGAAACGTCTGCAAACAATATTCTATACCGCCGTACTGCTCGTCTTCGCAAATGGCAGGAGAAGAATGGATACTTGGACGACAAGCCATACGACAAGATCAAGTGCGAGCCTGAAATTCAAGGCGAAAGCATGGGTCTTGGAGACATCGCCATGATGACTCTAGTCAAGCCTTTCTCTCTCACCCTCACAGAACCTATCGTCTTTGCTTTGAACATGTACATTGCCCTCATCTACGCCGTCCTGTACTGCTGGCTGGAGTCCATTCCCATCGCCTTCGAAGAACTCTATCGCTTCAGTCTCGGAACCACTGGCTTGTGCTACCTTGGTATCTGTGTTGGTGGTCTTGTCTGTATCCCCCCTTACTGGTACTACAACTATTATTACGTCGAGCCTCGCTTCTCAAAGGATGGAACCCTTCGCCCCGAAATCAGAATGGAGCCTGCGGTGGCCACTTGCATCTGTCTACCTCTCTGTCTGTTCATGTTTGGATGGACCGCCAACCCTTCGATCAACTTCATCGTACCTATCATTGCTACTTCTTTCTTCACCATTGGAGCCTTTGGTGCTTTCTCGGGCGTGCTCAACTATCTTGGCGATGCTTACCCTGCAGACTTCGCATCCATTTCTGCAGGTAACGATTTCTTCCGTTCTTGCTTTGGTGCTGCCTTCCCTCTTTTCGCTCGTCAGATGTTCAACACCCTCGGTCTCAACTGGGGTAACTCGCTTCTCGGTTTCCTGACTGTTGTGTTCATCCCTATTGTCACCTTCCTATGGTTGAAGGGTGACAGACTCAGAGCTCGCAGCAAGAGAGCTTCGCAGGACTACCTGAGCAAGAAGGACGAGGAGAAGAAGGAGGGCGACAAGAGTGATGACGACGAAAAGACTCAGGTCGGTAGCGATGAAGACAAGGAGAAGGATAATGAAGGACAGTCGTAGAAAAAGGGGATAGAATTCCCATGATCATGAACCAAATAGACTTAATCTGTAATACATAACGATAACGAAATGTACTTGTACGAACCTTTGCTTCTTGAGTGCTCTTCATCTCCAGCAACACTTACAAAGCATTAACCCAATTGGTGCCTGTATAGGTACCTATGCAACCGTGCATAGTGGTATAGGCGGCTAAGCGCTCCCGTCCGTCCCGGCTACGAGGATTGGACGGTTTCCCCACCGTCGGCGCGAACGTCCGAATAGGGCAAGGCGGTCCAGCTACCGAATCATCCAAGGAGCTTATTACACATCGAAGCCACGCCCTGGTTGCGAGCGAGACATGTTATTGCTATGCGCCTTGAGTCAGCTGTGCTGCTGCACTCAACAGTTCCAGACCTTTAGTCCCCATCAGCGAATCACTTGAAGTCATAACTTCGTCAGTTGCAGAGCCGGCGTCGGCTCCGATTACCCTGCGGCTCAAGAAAGCCGTTGTGGGCGGGATTCTGGGTGCGTGGCTTTCAGGAAAAGTCGATCTGGAGCGCCAGCCAGCTTCAACCAGACTCGCATTCGGGAATCGTGAGCAGTGGCGCTCAGGGCCTGAGCAGAGGGGAACGCCATGTAGTCGGCATCCCCGGCCTGGACGCTTCCTTTGAAGCAGACGTTCAGCGAAGAATTTTCCAACCCTATACCACACAGCAGCGTCTGGGGAGCTTCTCAGATTGCCGGGCAGAGACGGGTGTCATGTCGACCTTGGGAGCTTCGGATTCGGTGCAGGAGTGGCTTCGTTTGCGAGCGTTGGCAAGGTAAATATCAACAGGGCGTGCGGTGGATCGACAGGTGAAGTCCTGAAGCCTGACACGATTGCGCGTGGTATNNAGATACTTTGCTCCGTACAACATCACGGCCGACGATGTCAATGCCGAACACGGCGAACCGGCCCCGCCGTCACTGGCCAAAAGCCCGCTCCTGACGGCCGTCACGCAGAATGGCGCCTTGCGCATGAACTGCGACCGCGCCTTTGTTTCGCTCATCGACTCGTCGACGCAATACATTCTCGCCGAAGCCACAAGATCCATCTCGATCCGCGACTCGACCAACTTCGCCCATCCTCAAGATGCGCTGTTCCTTGGTGTGCAGAATTTGAACAAGGAATATGGCATCTGTCCGCAATCTGTCGCCATCTTTACCGACCGCACCGGCCGACGGGCCATCAACAGCCATGACGTTGTCGCCGATACCACACGCTATGTGATCCGTGACCTACGAGAGATGGATCAGTACAAACACTGCCCCTACGTCGTTGGCTTTCCTCACATGGTCTCGTATGCCGAGGTGCCTGTCAAGAGCGCCTCAGGCCATATCCTGGGAACATACTGTGTCATGGACAACAAGATTCGAGACGACTTCTTCAATGACAGTACAATCGACATACTCAACGACATTGCCGCCTGTATCACCGAGCAACTGGAGCTTCATGCCATCAAGCAAGAGTCGGGCCGAGGAGTACAAATGATGAGGGGCTTGTCCGAGTTCATCGAAAGCAGACGCTCAGGAGCAGACACACATGAAACATCGCGAAAGAGCTCTGTTACCGACTACTTCGACAACCGACAGCAGAAACCTGCAGCGACATCATCCTCGACTTCACTGGACTCGGAGAAGCAGACTTTCGACAATGCGACAACGCAGGCCACAACCCCACCAACACCTTCTGAGGATCTCTTCTCCCCACCAAGTCCTGGAGTCTGCGAACCTGCCGTGGACATGGCAAGAAAACCCTTGGCCGGCTGTCGAACCATGAAAGACATCTATTCAGGCGCCGCACATCTTATTCGCGATGCTATCGACATCGAAGGATTGGTCTTCCTGCATGGATCTACAGACAACGCAATGACAAGTCTCACACAATCTCTCTCGAAGCCAACAATAACGACCGACGCATTGCACAGTACTGAAACATCCTCACTCTGCGAGGTTCTTGGAAGCTCAGTCGTCCCCGGCGGTTGCAATCTTGGCACCTTGCAGCAACCATTAATTATTCATGATACTTCGCTTCGCTACCTCACTCAGAAATTCCCTCGAGGTTGTGTCTTTGTTTCTGACACCCAAGGCAATCCTGTCTTCGACAAGGATGGCGCTTTTATTGCTCAGACCTATTCCCAGCAGACCTCCTCTGCGGCCGTTCAGGTGTCTAGTGAGCTGCAGGCATTGATTCGCAAAGCCCGTTCCTTGATTTTCCTCCCTCTTTGGGACTCGACGCAGGAGAAATTCATCGTAGGTATGCTCGGCTGGACCAGCGATCCTACAAGAGTGCTTGCAGAGCAGGATATGACATGTTTGTCTGCCTTTGGAAACACTTTCATGACCGAGATTGCAAGGACAGAGATGACAGAGCTGGCACGCGCAAAATCAGACTTCTTGTCTTCTATCAGTCACGAACTTCGATCGCCTCTTCATGGCATTCACGCTGCTGTCGATCTCTTGCAAGATCCTGAACACGACTCCAAGGCTGAATTGGTTGAAATGATACAGAGCTGTTCTTCGACATTACTGGACACTTTGAACCACGTTCTGGACTTTTCACGGGTCAGCAAACTCACCGATGTGAAGATTGAGACGCATCCTCTCTCTTCTGTCGAAACCTCGGAGGTGTCTTACAATGCCTTTGGCGATGTGAGCCAGGAATACCTGTGTGACCTGGTCCTATCAGTAGTCGAAGGAGTACATTTCGGTCAAGCCTCGCGCAAAGCCACTTTCGATAAGCTGCAGAATACCATTGTCAACCACGCTGCCAAGTCTCATCTCTCATCGGATACACTGGCACTAGATCGTCCCAGCGACAACGACTCCCNNCTTTCGCAAGGCCCCGATGCTGTGGCCGTCTATGTGGACATAGAGAGTCGATCCGACTGGTGCATGATGGTTCCCGCTGGCGCCTGGAAACGTCTGGTCATGAATCTGTTTGCCAACGCTCTGAAATATACCGAACAGGGATTTGTCGAGGTCTCCTTGAAAGTGGTGATGGGTCCTAAGGATTCCACCAAGCGATTTGCTCATCTCGTGGTTAGCGATACGGGCATCGGCATGAGTCCTGAATTCTTGGAGCGAAGCTTGTACCAGCCATTTGTGCAAGAGAACCCGATCGCTGATGGAACTGGTCTGGGACTCAGCATTGTCAAGAAGATTGTCGAGGACTTGCAAGGCACCATCGAAGTACAGAGTACACAAGGGGTCGGAACGCGATTCGACGTCTTGATTCCTCTGCCAAATCATGATGCTCGAGAGGAAGCCCTGCCCATGGGTGGACAGAGATTGGATCCAACTGCAATCCTCAAGGGCCGGACAATATGCTTGTTATCATCCTCCAGCATGCGTGTGGAAAAGTCTCCCCGGGCTGAGTTGCAACTTCGGCGCACAACGACGATGCAATCGAATGTGCGCTCTATTGCTGGTACTTGGTTCGGCATGCATGTCACTACTAGCCACAGCTTAGAAGGTGTCGCCGCAGATATCGTCATGGTCGAGGAGATGCATCTTGCTAGTCTGATATCTGCCAACCCGGAGATCTTGAACAAGCTCAGCAAACAACATATAGTCTTGGTTGATGCTCAACCATCTCACCATGTTAACAAGCTTCAACTCCCTGGCAGCATCGTAAACCTAGCATACCCGCTCAGTCCAAAAGCACTTGTTCGTGCGTTTGCTGCTAGCTTGGCCTCTAGCATCCAGCCGCAGGCTCTGCCATTGACGCATGCACTTCCCTCAGGATCGCTACCGCCAACACACCATAACCAAGAAACGCTCACAAACCAGCCAGATGGCCCAACACTCACAAAGATCGCCAAACTCACACCTCAAGACAGCAAACCTGTCCAAGAAACCAACACAACACGGCAAGACCAACAACACTTCCTCCTCGTCGACGACAACGCAATAAACCTCCGCCTCCTCACCACCTTCATGAAANAACTCTCCTACACTTCAGAAACCGCCATCAATGGCCTCGAAGCATTCGAAAAGTTCAAAGTCTCCTCCTCAAAATTCACAACTATTCTTATGGATATTAGTATGCCTGTTATGAATGGATACGAGTCTAGTCGAGCTATAAGAAATCATGAGAAGATTTTGGAGGAAAGGGAGGGGGAGGGCAGGAGGAAGGCGGTGAGGATTATTGCGTTGACGGGGTTGGGTTCGGAAGCTTCGAAGCAAGAGGCCAAGGCAAGTGGGATTGATGAGTTTTATACGAAACCGGTAAAGTTTGATGCGTTGAGGGAGTTGTTGCAGAACTAGGCGGTTGGTGAATGGAAGCATCAGATAATGATTTGTAGTGAGCAGGTACCACACGCATCCATGAGGAATTATGAAGGTTTACTATGCCCAAATACACATTTTGAAAATACTTGCCTGCGATGCATCAGATCTCATGTGAATGCTATAACAATGCAGGTGCATAGCTTTTCACATCACGGCATGTCGTCCAAAACACCCAAGACGCTAAAATGTCGTGCATAATGGCAGAATTGTGGAGAAGCACTCCTGACCTGCAGCAACAACAACCAGCAAACTTCTTTCAATAAAGCAACCACCATCTTAGACATCATAGTCTCCATACCATCACCACTTGACGCCTCAAAGAGAGCACAAGTGATGAATTCAACACTCACACCCCCGCACGTAGAGATCTCCCTCTGCATCTCCCNNCCTTCCCAGCATAACTTTTCCCAACCCTCGCCACCCACGCTCTCCATAACACTACTCTCTCACGCTTCTCATCCGATAACATTTTTCCTCTGGGATACGCCTTTGCACCTCCAAGGCTGCCTCACCAACAACAGCATCACCATCACCGATATCGCTTCTAGCACTCCTGTCCCCACAACCTTGATTCGCATCCAAAGACCTGCGATTACTAGGATCCGTGGCTCTCATGACGAAGAGTTGTTTCTTACCCTCAAACCTGGTGTGCCAGTCACATTATCCCGTCCTTTTAGCAGAGGACTAACTGGGGATATAAAACCTTTGCCTAAACACATGATACAACATGGTTGGGAACTCAATTCCCTCGGCGAGANNGGGATGAAAAATCGACGTTCGAGAAACGCGACAGGGGTGGATGGGTTAGAAGCTGGATGTGTTTATAGAATTGGGATTGATTTGAAGAGATTGGAAAGGGTTTGGTGGGCGTTTGCGACTAAGGAAGAGGTGCTTGTTGACCAAGGGGGACAGGGAACGTATGTGCAGGATTTTGGGTGGGAGAAAGAGAGGAAGGTGGAGTGGAGTATTAGGGAGGCTATGCTAAGGGTTGTAGAGTGAGCGGACCCGAAATCAAGTGAGAAGAATATATTCCAGACCAGCTTTGACATAATCTTTCAAACTTGATCCCATTCCGAGATCGCAAGCAACGGGTTCGTCGCAGAGCCACTGTTTTCTGTTTGCAATATTTCGCCGAAAAGACTAACCGTCAAGGCGATGCATTCTGAGGACAGACGAACGAGACTGCCGACCGTGATCAAGATAAACGGAAATGACTGCTCTTTATGATTCCATATTCCTCCAGGCCATCGAGTTCAGAATCATGCGCAAGGTGTTTGCAGCCAAATACAAGCCGCACAGCAACTTCGACCTGGAGTTCAAAAGCTCATGTTCGCTCATAGCGAAAAGAAGAGAGCATTTCGATAGAAAGCTGTCAATTGTCCGGAAATAACGAAGGTTCGGTTTCGGTTATTCAGAATGTGGAGTTACGGAGGGGGAACCAAGCCGGTAACCTTATTGTAGCATCATGAACCGACAGATACCGACCATCTAGGGTTCGGCCTTTGGCGGCACGACCTGATTCTTTTATCTTTGTTCAGCTACGCTGTGTTACCTTGTCGCAAATCATTCGTACGTGTTCCTCTTCAGAACTGTTTTTGCACTGCAACAATCCTCACAAGACATAACCTCAAACTCGTCGACATGGATGCTATAAGACCCCAGACGATACCAGATCTCGTACATGGTAAGTCAAAGACCAAGTGAACATGTCTGGATCTTGTCTGACTGATGCGTACAGTGTCTGATTCATTATTCAAGCAATTTGCCAACTCAGCAATCCAAGTACCAGACGACTATCCCGGCGTTTCCAACATGATACACACTCGTGCTTCTGCAACATATGGCGACCCATCACATCCCCTAGGTTTTCGACTGGGTAATGGTGGAGCTGGTCATACCGGCATCCTGAGATTGCTCTGCGAATACTTCATCGCTTCTCGAGGTGGAGGCTTCTGTATCGAGTGGGTTTCGAACCACAGTCGACATTCTCAGATCGCTCTGCTGGGAGATGTTGTCCAAGTTGCTCTGACGTATGAGCCTGAGTACGAGAATCTGGCCATCAAGGAGGGCTGGGCTGAACGAATGGCGAAAGTGTTTAACGACCATTTCATCTTGGTTGGACCTGCAGCCAATCCAGCTGGTGTTGTTGTCGATGGCACAATTACAGATGCATTCAAGGCTATTGCAAAATATGGCTCTTCAAACGCTACAAACCACAACGATGGAGTTTTCCAAACCCGTGGCGATGGCTCAGCCACATTCTACAAGGAACTGGCGTTGTGGGATCTCGCTCATGTCGATCTGTTTGCAGCAAAACCATGGAGAGTCACCAGGCCAGGGACACCTTACGAAGCTTTGCTGAACGCAGACCGTACGAGCGCATATTTGCTTAACGATCGCGCAACATATCTGACAGCTAGACGTGACAAAGCCTTGGTCAGCACAGTGCCATTTATTGAAGGTGGACCCAAGCTTCTTAATCCCTGTTCAGCACTTGTCAATATCAAAGCCCCACCCAATGCGCTGGCGAAGGAATTTGCTTTGTGGCTAGGAACTGAAGAGGTTCAGCAGATGGTTGCAAAGTATGGTCAACGATGGTCTGTTGCGACGCCTGTATTCTCAACTGCAGAGCAGCAAGATGTGACCAAGGCGGAGAGGTTGGTAGCTAAATTATAGAATCACTTATACCAAACATTATTTATCGTTGTCTATTCATAACTTAAAACTCGAGTAGGATTGTCCGTCTCAAGCTCAATTTGTGCTCATTACCTAGATTGATGCTTCAGATCTGGCAACCCAATGGTGAATGGGAAGGTCAAACAGCGAGCACGAGTCCGTCATGTCTTATGACAGATGTTTGACACCTTCATCTTGATTAGAAAATCGAGAATGTGGTTGGTCTGAAGCAGTATTGGTCGGTCGGCGTCTGAAGTGGAGGTCTGGCCAGGATCAACTTATCGAATGGCGGGGATAAAGAGTATACGGCCATAAGGAAGGGTGACAGTGCCCCTAACTTTGCATTTTACGTGTGCTTGTCTTTTGGATCACACAGTCCCTGCACGAACCATTGAAGTCAACTCGTTACCGAGCTTTCCCGTCAGTTGCCGCAAGACTTGTCTACGATCACAAAGCTTGTCTTTGCCGACGTGAAAGCTTGATATGGCTTGTCATGGGGCAATGCTCGGTAAGTCAAGCCGTACTGTGAGGGGAAGCATACTAGAAACTCAAGACTATCTCCCCGTGGGGATTCCCTGCGGGGCCACTGGTTCACACACTGTTCATGACCTGGGGTCGGCTACATACTGGTAGCATCAATCAATGCCCGAGACTGAGTCATTGACCGACCGTATACCCCAGATCCAGTTATCACACGATGATCGCTACGCAGTTGCCGCTGGTAATCATCTATAAGAACCTACACACCATCTCGCCTCTGCTCAGCCTTTCGTATCTTGAGAAACTTACCTTCTCTCACCACCATGACTTCTTCCCCAACATACATGCGCCTCAAAGGGCAGAACTTGGTTTATGCTGTCACGCTATCCTGCTCTCTCGGCTTCTTGTTCGTCAGGGCCTGTTCAGTATTGGCGTACATAGCTAACACCTTTTAGGNNCTGTTTGGCTATGACCTCGGGTACATGGGCGGATTGACCACATCACCAGAATTCCTCAAGACCTTCGGAAACCCAAACCCAACCCTACTTGGCTTCCTAGTCTCGTCTTATGAGCTTGGAGCTCTGTTTGGAGCAGTCTTCGTCTTCCTTCTAGGAGATCGATACGGTCGTAGACCCATCAAGTTGACAGGAGCTGGCGTCATCTCAATCGGTGCTATGATTCAGTGCACTTCCTTCGGAGTACCTCAATTCCTTGTGGGACGTATCGTTGCTGGCTTTGGCCTCGGTATGATGACTTCTGTCATCCCTATCTGGCTTGCAGAATGTGCTGCACCGAAGTCTCGTGGTCGAATGATTGCCATGCAGCTGTCTAACCTGATCATGGGTCTCATCATTGCCAACTGGCTGGACTACGGCATGGCATCATACCCATCTAGCATCCAATGGAGGTTTCCGTGTGCTTTCCAGATCGCTTTCTGTATCTGCGTAGGCTGCCTGGTGCCTTTCCTGCCAGAATCACCTCGTTACCTAGCAAAGACTGGAGATCTAGGTCTTGCCATCAACAATCTCGCTGCCTTGCGTGGCATGCATCCGGACGATCCGGAGTTGCAACAAGAGATGAAGGACATCGAGTATATCGTCGAAGTCGAGCAGCGAGAAGAAGGAACCTGGAGTGATGTGTTCAAGGACGGCGGCATCAGCGGTTCCACTCGCGTTCTTATCGCTTGTGTCGCCAATGCACTTCAGCAGCTCACTGGTTCCAACGTCATGTCCAGCTTCGGACCATACATCTTCCAACACTCGATCGGCATGACCCGTCACCAGGCCCTCTTGGTGTCCGGAGGTCTACAGGTCTTCTTCTTCGTCAGCAGTATTATTCCATGGTTTCTCATCGACAGAGTTGGTCGACGTCGACTATTCCTGTTTGGATCAACTGGTCTTGGACTCTGCATGGCATTGTCAGCTGTTTTTGTTGGCGTCAAGGGCAACAAAAGCCTTGGTTATGGTGCAGCTGTCATGTTGTACCTTTACCAAACTTGCTTCACAGTCGGCTGGATGAGCAACATGTGGGTTTGTAAGTTGCATCCTCTTTCCCAACCGCAATCATCGCATACTGACGTAGAAGTAGACCCTTCGGAACTTCTCCCACTCAAGCTTCGTCTGCGCGGAGCCGCACTCTCCGTCGTCTTCCAATGGCTCGCCACTTTCCTCGTTGTCGAGATCGTGCCGCCGATGATCAGCAGCATCGGCTACAAGTCCTACATTGTCTTTGCAGCCATCAACGTTGCGACCATCCCCATTGTCTACTTCTTCTTCGTTGAGACCTCCAAGCTACCACTTGAAGCGGTTGACGTCCTGTTTGCAGACCGCGATGGCAAACGCCCTAGTATCTTCCAAGTCGTTCGGGACAGCAAGAACAAGGAATACATGGCGGCTGTTGTGAGCAGACTTCACCAAGAGGCGGAGACTCAGGTTGGATACAAGAGCGACTTGAAGGCGGAAGTCATCCATGCCGAGAAGGTGGATGCCTGATTCTCTACACAATAGACCCGATTTATTTTGTTTGTTGCAAAGTTTTTGCGATGTTAGTGTGTATCGTCGATAATTCTTGCTTCCAGAACTCTTTGCCTCGACGCGATTTACAGCTTTCTGCTCTCTCATAAAAAGTAAGATTTCATTCACTTGTGCAACCCTTCTATATGCAGTCTGATCTCTCTCTTGGGTTCGGATTTCACACCCGAAATGGATCTAAACTCCTTCCTCCGAACACAACTTGTTCTTCGCCTTCTTGAAAGTTCAACTCTTCTTATCAGCGGAAGCGACCGAAAACGTCCTCGACATCAAGGTTTGTAAGTTTCAAAACATTACCTCTAAGCATGTAGCCAATCGCGAGGCTGCGTCAGCTCTTTGATAAGATACTACTCTCTCTATTGAATCACGCACGAGCTCCCCAAGCTTGACAACAAGCATACCGTTCCTCGGTTCGGCCCGGGCTGAACCGCTTTTGGCGACGACATTGGACGTCCATCCATCATCTGAAATGATATGTCTTGAAAGGGAGTTATGCGTATCTATACACTTTTCTCAATACTCGTGTAATAGTCCATTCAAAGCAGATGACACCTCGATTGAACACAAGACCAACAAAGACAAAGCACTTTGCATATACTCCCAATCTTGATGGATCGAATCATGGATGCGTTTGATGGAACGAACTTTCTGATAACATTTATTCTGCAGTAAAGATAGTAATATTGACGGCCGTCAAGCAACGAATTGCGATAGGTTTTGCGCAGCGTCCCACGCTCTCCACGTCACAGTTTCTCCTCGTGACAGTCTAGTTCTCAATGACTCTGGTGCTCTTGGGAATGCAGCTCTTGCACTCATCAAAGTTGGCTGCGGTGCCGGCTGCAGAACCGACGCAGCTCAAGTCAGCGATGGGGTTGGCACCGAGTTCGGCAGCGGCGGCAGCGCAGCTGCCACCTGTGCTGGCGAGGTGCAAGACACACTCNTGGGTATTCCATCAGTATCTTGTATCCATGAGTACTGTGGAACGGATTGGATACTTACTGGCGAGGTTGCTCTTGGTGCAACCGGGAGGAAGGGAGATCAGGACCTGGGGCTGAGCGAGCTCCTCGACGGGAGCAGCAAAGGCGGTGGCAGCCATGGCCAGAGCAGCGATGATGGTGAATTGCATGTTTGCGGTTGTTTTGAGGGGGGAGTTGGGTCCTGGTGGAGTATGAGTTGATGACTGATGCAGAGGATGAGAGTTGATGATAGTAGAAGCAATACTGGCATTCGTGACCCTTTATATATCCCTTCGAGGCACCTGAGTGACTTAGCCCTTTGCAAATCGCTCGATATAGTCAGTCTTCAGCTCTGCTGCCTGCATCCTTCTCAACATGGAGTCTTACTATTGATCCTCCAAAGCATGTATTCTTACTATTGATCCTTCTCGACATGATGTCTGTCCTCTCTGAGTTCTCCACCATCAATCCTACGCAGTGCTCAACGCTCCAGTGGAAGGATATCGGAGTGCTGAGGGATTGTGTTATGCAACGTGATGTAACGGTTGCTGATGTTTATTACCGATGACTTTCGAGCTGAATCCTTGATGGCCTGCGTCTGCACTGCGATTTGCGTCGTGTTGATCAAAACTGAGGAAGTCAGCTGCTATACGAGGTGTTGTCCGAGGTCGGATCCTGAGAGTTGACAGTTACACGACTCGACAGATAACTAATGATCCTTAGGTCCTGCGCGACTCATCAACGCTCATATTCTCGAGCAGGTTTTACATAATCCTCGTCACGAGGTGTGACTGGTCGTCTTTCTCGATGCTACTTATGCAACTAGATGTTTCTGTTAGTCGTAGCAACGAGACGCCGTCGATCAACGCTCTGAGGAATATGATTTAGTAGAGGAGCACACTTAGCGATGTTCCTGAGTGATGACTCGCAAATAGCGCATTCACCCTGATGGTCACTCAGAGCAAACACTATAGAAACTCTGTTTGAGTGACCCCCTCAATGCATTTGTTCCTTGCGTTACAAAGGCGGGTCTGCCACTAGAGTCTCGGGTCTCGGTGAGATAGACTTTGTCAAGACAGTCTATCGCGCTCAGTCGCATTCTTTCCAAGACGAGTGCTCGGCGACTGTGGCAAGTGGTTTGCGGGCATTGTCGCATCGTCGCATGCCTGATTCAAAGGGTTCGAGACATTTCCATGAGAACTGGAGCAATACGAAGACACGAAGATCACCATCTTCGATATTACTATGGCACGAATCGTAACAATGGTCGCCTTATTGGATGTTCTGACAAATATGGTGTTTGGTATATGAGTGGGACGATCAGTTTCGTGTATATGCAGCTAATGCTAAACGTTAGTTTCCTCCTCGGTGACAGAGACCAATCAAATAAGCATGCGAACTCCTGAGCTTGTTGAAGCTTAGTCTCACGTTGATGGTTCGTGCAATACGAATCCTGATCCTTCGTGAGTCGTGACTCGTAAGTCCTAGCGGCCGTAACAACAACACGCTACATCCTGCCGAGATTGGACCGCCTGACACTGACGTCGCCACACCATATCGTATGCAGTCGATCAAGCTCTTGAAATCCTTATAGGAAGATCCCAACTCCTTCACGTAACTCCTTCTAGAGTAGTTGTCTCTCCACTTTTGTCCTTGTTCCATCCTGTTCCCACTTCGAACACGCCTACGGCCCTTACACGCTCACTTACTCTCGTCTTACAATCAGATCCAAACAACAACATTTCATCAACAAAAACATGGGTTGTGGAAGCTCCAAACCAGAATACAGCGGCAACAGCATGCCTGCACAACCTGTGCAAGGCAATCCGCCTCAGGGGTACGCGGCTCCTCAACAAGCACCCATGTATCAGCAACAGCCACCAAAGAAAGGCGGTTGGAAGAAAAAAGCGACGAACCTGGGTCTCCTCAGTACGATGCTCGGCTAGTGGTGTTCCAGAGGCTTGAGAAGGTTGAAGACAGAGGTACGTATACACTTGCTTGATTCTCTCATGATGATGGTTCTGATTGATGTTTTCTAAGAAGATGTACAGAATCCACTTGCTCTCCTTGGCTGTCCGACAGATACATGCCCATGTACAAAGAACACTTCGATCATTCAAGTTTCTGGTAGTCGAGAGAAACAAATTTCAAGATCATGTCAAGACAGGGCAGCAGTCTTGTATGAAGCTTTGAGCGGGATTGACTTCTTTCACTCTAGACTCGGTCTTGAGCAGTTGTTCGCTCGCTTGTGTCTGTTAATCACATTCTTCTTGCTCCTTGTAGATATATGTCAAACATAAAACGTTCACGAACAAAATGACGCAGTGGCGTATTCTGTGGCTGCCTAGAGCTTGGCCTATAAGTATGCCATCTCCTTGCAAAGACTCCCCAATTTTTTCGTGACCCAGGGATGTTGCATCCCGAGCAGAGCTTTACAATCGGGACTCTTTGATGGGGAACATTTTCCTATTCTCCGTCGAGCAGCGCGCACAGCACCACTCTGGGAGCGAATAATGCACCTAGGAACAAATCCACATCAGACGTCAACAGGCGCTTTAGGGGAATGCCAACGCTGGTCGTTTGCTAACGCATATGAGGATATCAATGATGGGTGTAATGCAATGCTGTGGATGAACGTCATCAGTATGCCATATCTTCAAACAAATTAGCAAGTATAATTCAGAAATTCAGTTATCCTTCTTGAAAGCCCAGTCAACACGCTTCTTCTTATGCACCAACTGCGTGAAATCCTTCTTATCAAAGACACTAATTCTTGAGCTCCTAACATTAGGACATCCAAGAATCTCTTGATAATCTGCCGCAAAGTCTGTGGCTTTGAAGAAGCCCGTCTGTTTGGCTGATTCGTCTACCTCCACTCTCAAGTTCAGGTACACTTCGTTAAAGCGAATGTTGGTGTTTTCGAGGTCGCGGCAGGCTACGTTGGCGAGAGAGTAGAGGGCACCTTGTGTTAAGGCTGCTCCTGCACGTAGACCGACATCGCCCATGCCGCCTGTGCAAAGTGTCCAGGTGCTGTCCTGGAATCCTTGCTCAAGTAGGTATGGAATGGTAGCTTTGTAGGCGACTTGAGATGTCAATCAGTACATGGTGCGCCTTGCGTTGAAAAGACTACCATATACTTACAGAAANTTGGTTTCAAAATTTATGTTCATGTATTGACGTAGCTCATCGGTCGTCAACTCGTGCAGAGGGGTTGGTCCCATCATTCCGCCAGCNTAGACCTTGTTCAGCAAGAACTCCTCACAATCACAGAAACATGCGCATATTGGTTAAGACATACCAGCGGCATATACATGTTGGAAAGCAGGCAGTTTACCTGTCTTGACATCTTTCACTAGTCGGAGCATGTCTGCTTCAGATGTGATATCTGCTTCTGCGATGGTGATGCCTTCGCGCGTGCCGACATGCTTGAACAATTTCTCGGCTGATTCTTGGTTGCGCACGACAGCAAGGACGTTGCGTTTGGTGTTGAGCGCGCCGATGACTGCAGAGACACCAATGTTGCCGGTCGAACCTACGACAAGGACAGTCTCGGGAGCCATGGCTGGGTGCAAGGTGGGCCCTCAATTGGCGGAACAGATGGTTGCAGTCGACCAGGGAAGTCCGGTTTTATATGTTTGATGCAGTCGCAACTCGCAGACGCCATTTTCAACACGGCAAGTTTACTTGTGTCTAATGCCGAGAAACATACGGTGTGGTTCTGCAAGGCTGGACGTTAATGCAAGTAATCATCCAATAATTCGTAGAGCCATGTACGCGTCTGAAGGATGCGGGATGAATCCTTCGGACATCGCGTTCGGCACCGGACAATCTACTTTCCACCACCAACCAATACATGCATTCTCAATGCATCGCATATCAACCTCTAGCGGACACTAAGAAAATCGATGGAGGGCTAGAACGCGGGGAAATCATCTCGTCCAAACTGTGAACGCGTGCAGACAACGCTAATTTGCGATTTGTTCTTCGCATGTCAGCTAAGACTAGACACGTGTTTGGAAAAGAAAGTGTATATTGAGTCCTGGCCATCTCGATGTTGTGTAAGCTTGAAGACTGGATCGCATAGAATGGGGTCTAAAACATCGGCTGATCGACTATCTAAGCAGCAGAAGGACCTAGTCTGACATCCCTGATCAGAATATTCATATCCGCATACCATCCACAAGTCAGATAGAACGAGAAGTCAAATACCTCATTCGCATCTCCCTCCCATGTGTCAAACATTCTGCTAAACGTCGACCATGTATGTCCCGTTGACGCCGCATACCAGTTAGTACTCGAGCTTGGCTCAGTCTCCCCATTGCCGACCATGCTCAGCGTGACTGAACAGCCGGGATAAATGTGGTCCATCTTGTAAGTAAACTCGAAGGTGAATGGCTGGCCGGCACAAGGACCGAAGTTGACGGATTGCGAGAACGTGCCGCCCCAACCGGCAGCACCGCCCAGTCCGTCGTGAGTACCTGACCAGTGCAATACAGCAACACCCTGATCAGCATTATACGAGAGTCTATCGTTGGAGTCCCAACCGTTCGATCCGTTTGCGGAATTGGCGTTCGTTGTAGGTCTGGGTCAGCATAATGACAACAGTGCTGGTACTCGTTGCCACAGTCTGTGTGATGAATGAAGTAAAGGCTGTGATGGTTGCGGTTGTCCAGACTGAGACAGTTGCGATTGGCGAGCCTGCAGCAAAGATCTTCCTAGCCGGCCAGTTGGCGATGAACGACGGTGTCGGAACCGCTGACCAGCTCTGATACACATAGGTTGTCAAGATATTCCCCTATTGCTAGGGATTCTTTGAGAAGAATCCGAACACGAATGGATGGAAAACATCCACTGTGTTCATCAAATCTGAGTGACGATTCAAGCTTCACTTGAGAGGAACTCTTACTCCAGATCTCCAGCGTCCGAAGTCGAGTTCGCGAAATAAGGTTGGGCGTAAACCTGCCGTTCCTGACGATCAAGCTTCTTTTCTTGGGAGTTCAGACTCAAAAGCTTAAGAAATCTGCTTTCGGTGCAGGTTGAACCGATCATGGAGATTGCCCAAACCTTGACCTTTCCTGTTCCAGCAGGGAATCTCCAAGCCTAACTGTATTTAGCAGCTGGTGTGCCTTGCATGAACGCGTATAACGCATTGAGCCCCATTGGTACTGTCATATGCTATCGAAGTAAAGCTCAACTTGAACATGCAAGCCCGGACTCATAACGGGACCGGCTTGCGGTTGTTCAGCTGTCAACAGTTGCTATATGGGTGAAACGGCATGTCCAGCGACTTCATGAGGTACGGATATCTTCAGCAAAAGGTAGTAACAATTTTAGTGACTTCAAGATGGAATCAATGGCATAACCATGAACATTAGTGGCTCGGGTTTGAAGTCTCAGCAAGGATCGCAAGACATGATGGTCGAACGGGACATCACAAATGATAGAGCGACGAGTTCTTGTTAGCATAACCTTGAGCCAAGTGTTGACCGATCTGGCAGTTATGACATGCCCAGTGCCGTCAAGATCTTGTCCTTATCAGCCCACGTTGCAGCAATTCCAATATACCACGCAACTCCTCTCCTGCGTGTTCTGAACAAAGACATCGATCGAGGGATTTTCGCAAGATACCATGACCATGATTGAGATGGAGTGGACATTGGCATAGCGAACTGCGTATGGTGTACACGAGTTTTCCGGACGATGGTCAATCTTCGCTGCAACTTGTGTGGCTTGGACGAAGGATGAGCTTCCAGTTATTTCATGTATGATATTCTCTGCAATGCAGAGGATTCAATTTTCAGTGCGTCGCCAGCCGTCGGGTTATTGTAGCTCCAGATAGCTTGCCACTTGCGCCTTTGATTAGACTACGATCGGTCATCTTGCGCGATGGGATGTCTAGTAGCCAGATGACAGAATCGAGGTATAAAGATACCGTGTCCTTTGTTTGATTCGCCTCCAGCTTGCGATAGCTATGATGACAAGTTTGCAATACCATAGATAGTGACGTCGTCCTTTTCAGGGATGTCGCATGAGCATAAGGCGTCAAGTTGACTCAACAAAGGCCGCGACGGCAGCTAGATGCAGGGCAGCACGGCAGGCCGAACAAGTCGGGAGATTGATCAGGCCGAGCCCGCAAGAGCATCGTCATGTTGATGTTGTACCGTCTGTTTAGCGTCAAAGGAATGGCAGTATGACCCGTCCATGTTGACGTTTGGGTTAGGACCCTTTGTTATTACCCCGCCAAACGTCATCATCGAGAGCTCTGAAACTGCTGCGCCCCACCTGTTCCAAGCTCCCCTCTGACAGCTCCAAAAGGTATAATAGACCTCGAAAGCTACAGTTGACACAATCTTCTTTTCTCATCAACTCTATCTTGCATCTTCAACTCAATCACAAACCAACCCACCCCAACCACATCTATCAAAATGCAGAACGAACGCGGCCAAGGTGTTTCCCACGCCAGCGACTCTCAGGTCCCCGGCAAGGTCCAGGAGAAGGTACACGCTATTTCTCAACCTTCTCTTGATTGTCATATGCTAACAACACCTCCCAGGCTCCCGCCAAGCTCGAGCACGAACTTCCTGACTCCGTCCACGACACCGGCTCCAACGCCCAGACCGGCAAGGTCAGCCACGCTACCGGCCCCAGCAAGGTCCCTCAAGCCGTTCAGGAGGCCGCTCCCAAGAAGCTCGAGGAGATCCTCCCCGAGAAGATCCACCCCACCAAGTAAATATTTGCATGATGGTCACGACAACTTGAATGAGCTGCGGCTAAGCTGAGCTCGATGGAATGCTTTACGAAATGATTCAAAGGCTAGAGCCATCGCGATGAAATATAATGAACAATCAAATACCTTGAACAAATCTTTGACATTCCAAGTTACCTGTGATTGTGCCGATGCGATTTACGCGTTTACTTACCACTCTGCCATTACCTGTGCTCCAAAATGTTCAGAGAGCTGGTCTGCATCATGTAGATAAGCAAATGTTGTATTGTGTAAGTAAACCACTTGCATTCGCTGTTGCGTTCAAAATTGCTCCGACGCGACGACCACTCCGTCTGACATTTGGCGGGTCGCGATTTGCGACGATATCTGCAAAACTTGTTGTTACTGTCACAAGACCATCGAACACACAAAGTCGCGCGCAGTCATACAAAGCGAATGTTGTGTCACACATGTCTCTGCAGGACGAGCACGAAGTCGGAAGGAAATTAAAAATTGCGGCTGCAGAACGACTTGGGAGATTGCCAAGAGGATCTTATCTCAGGTAAGATGTTTCTCCTGGCTGACGTACAAACCCTGGTGCTGGCATCAGGAACGCGAATACTCCCGACCCAACAGCTAAGCATGATTTATATGTTATTCATAGGGTAAATGTGTGCTTGTAAGTCTACATCAAATATCACACGAGCTGAGAAAAGGAATGCTCGATGCATCATCATGGATATTATTAAATGTGCGTTCAAACGCGCGAAGCATGTGTGAATTCATCTGATCTTATGAAGTCCTCTCAACCGTCAGTCAGTCTTTGGAAATTCTGATGCTTAGGACAATTCAATTCATACATTGTAAGGAGAAACCAATCCCCGAGATCAAACAAATTCAAGAGATGAATTAGAGACAAGGCTCTTGCTGTCGCGATGTTACCATCACGATGCCAACGTACATCATTATTTCTAGAACGAGTCATCGCCTTGGCACAAAACTCATCATGATCTTTCTCGACGCGATATTTCTGCTCCGTACATCCTATGGATCCTTGACGAGATACTCATGAACTGGATGACCGATAGTATGAAGTCGCGGATTTTGTTACTCTTTCCTGGTAGTCGGCCGCAGACATGCTGAGACCGTCTTTGATCTACATCAAACTCTCCATTTGGCGTCCACTTGCATCGAAACGAACTTATAGATTCAGCATATTTCTTGACCACTAAACACGAGGGACATGGATCTGGAGCGTACCGCAGAGTACATGCACACCCGTTAACCACGCCGCTGGTCACAATCGCGGCGTGTGGAAAGGCTTCTGGTGTCGAAACCGTCAAGGTTGATCTGGGGGATTGTCGCGGGCCGACTCTCCCGCTGCTTGGAAGATTAAACGAATTCGGAAGTAAGCGGTAGCTTAGTCTTAGAACGATATATGTATCTTGAGTAGGATGTGAATCCGTGGGTGAATATGCACCCACTACATGCAGCATCGTACAGAGGCATAGTCAGTACTTGTTTAACGCCTTCGAGCAAGACATATTGACAACAGAAGAAGGAAGTCCCAGAGTCCCATGCCAAGAAGGCTTACGCTACAAAGTCAATCTCCAAGTTTCAACGGTTGACTTCCATATTCGACCGTTTTGACGTCAGTTTCGAGGCCCCGCTTCTCCGCGGCTCTCCCAAATCAAGGTGAAGGAGCTCGATCATAGCTGTTTCTGACTTTACCAGTTCCCGATGGATAACGTAATGTCAAATTCAATTGGAGCTCTGGCATTCACATAAGCACAGCTGCGCGGCTTGCAATTCTTAGCTGCATCGTCCAACTTCCAAAATGCCTCCGATACCATATCGTACCTACGTCCGAGGCCATCCCGGCTCAACCCAAGAGGAGATTGACAATGAGCCTGACTGGAGCTCAAGCAAGTATAAGCACCACATTGGCTATCGCGACCGATATGATCGTGTTCCTGGACTCGTACACAGCGGCGATGATTCCGATAGCGAGGACAGTCAAGACTCTTTCCTCAAGGAGGCTGCAGAAGAGTCCGATGTGCTGCGTAAAGAATTAAAGCAACACAAGTTGATCAACTTCCGCGAAGCCAAGGAAAAGCAAGAGGCATGAGCAAATGTCNGACGAATTATACGCTATACTGCCACTAACGCATCTTAGGACTACTCTCTCGAGGAGCCGGAAGAACATCCCAATGGCTGGCGTTACCGACTCAATGAATCCGAAGACTTCATCAAGAATCAACAACCATGGCCCGCTAACCTGAAACGCCAGAAGCAGAAGGAGGAGCAAGAAAAGGAGGACAAAGAGAAGAAAGAACAAGAGGAAAAGCAGGAACAAGAGCATGAATGGAAAGCTGGCGATCTCAACCGTCGCAGACACAATGACGCTTATGCCTCGAGCGGCGGACAAGATGACTCGAAGGACACCAAACAGGATGGGNGACAAACAGGACAGCAAGAACGACCAGAAGGACTCCAATAAGGATGACTCCCAGACCGATCAAGCAGATTCAGATGAGCAGAAAGATGACAAACCAAAGTCCGAATACGAAAAACTGCGAGAAAAGTACAGCNNGTCCAGGAGATTGCTCTGCTGAGAAGTCTGCAACAAGAGAAGAAGATTGTCGAGAGCCTCAAGCAAAGCGATGGCAAGATGAAGTCTCCCTGGGCACACCTCGCACCCTCTGATGTGATTGATGATGCCGACCGCGCCAGCCCGGACAACTGGATCCCGCGAAACTCGAACATGATCCGTCTCACGGGCAAGCACCCTCTGAATTGCGAATATCCACTCTCAGACCTCTTTGAAACAGGTCTGATCACTCCCAATCGCCTGCATTACGTGCGGAACCATGGACCTGTACCACATCTCTTGTGGGAGACGCACAAACTGGACATCGAGAACGGAAAGTGTGAATTCAGTATGGACGACCTCGAGACCAAGTTCGAAAGCGTCAACATTGCAGTCGCACTAGCTTGTGACGGCAACAGACGCAAAGAACTGAACATGATCAAAAGATCAAAGGGTTTCAACTGGGGCGCTGGAGCCATTAGCAATGCTTTCTGGAAAGGTGCGCTTTTGTCCGATGTCTTGAAAGCCGCTGGAATCGATTATCCTACCAACGGATCTGGAGTCAGAAGATGGGTCAATTTTGCAGGTGCGGATGAGCCATCGGAAGGTACTTATGAGACATGTATTCCGTACGAGTATGCTATGGATCCGGTTAATGATGTTCTGCTGGCTTATGAGATGAACGACGTCAAGTTGCCTCCTGACCATGGATATCCTCTACGAGTCATTATCCCTGGATATGTTGGAGGTAGGCAAGTGAAATGGCTAAAGAAGATCTGGACAAGCGAAAAGGAAAATGACAGTCACTACCATATCTGGGACAATCGCGTGTTGGTGCGTCGCATTTCTTCATCGTAGTGTGATGTCGCCTTATGCTAACGAGTTTCACAGCCTGCATTCGTCACAGAGAAAGATGGTGAATTCTCTGAAACCCTCTTCCGCCACCCGGACACGGCGTGCAACGAGCAAAACTTGAATTCAGTTATCGCCAAACCTGGACACGGTGAGCGCATTGAAGTATCTGATGTCAAGAAGGGCCATACATATCGCATTGCTGGCTATGCTTATGATGGAGGTGGTCACGAGGTGCAGCGAGTCGAAGTCAGTCTCGACAACGGTGAGACGTGGCTGTACTGTATCAGACAATTCCCTGAAGCACCGGTCAGACATGGTCAGAAGTACTGGACCTGGATCCACTGGTACATTGACATCGAACTTGCGCACTTGCTTCGTGCCCCCAGTATCACCGTGCGGTGCTTTAATGTCTTCAAGAATACTCAGCCAGAGGTACGTGTACATGGTCATTGTCCTTGGTGCTTTGTGACTGATCAGTCTTTCTAGTTTGGCTCATGGAACGTTATGGGGATGATGAACAACGGCTGGTACAAGGTCAAACCTGAGATCACTGAAGGCAAGGATGGTAACATTGAGGTTCTATTCCGCCATCCAGTCGAGCCAGGCACTGGTACTGGTGGATGGNTGGAGCCCAGCGCGGACGAGAAGATCGCCAGCGCAAAGCAGAGTGCAAGTACACCTCAGAAACAATTCACTAGAGAAGAAATCGAGAAGCACGACACAGAAGATGACTGCTGGATTGTGGTTGATGGCAACGTCTACGATGCGACTTCGGTACTGGATTGGCATCCCGGAGGCAAAGCGACCATTATGAACCATGCTGGCAAGTTGTCTCAAGAGACTTCAGAGAGCTTCGAGTCCATCCATGATGGTTATGCTTACAAGAAGCNNTTGGTGGTAGGTTAAACTCTCAAAGGCCAAAGATGACCAATTCGCTGAAGTGAAAATGTAGAATGTATTCTCGGTACGGTAACGGACAAGGCAAAGGCACACATGAAGAAAGAAGCAGAAGCCGTAGCGAAAGCCAAAGCAGAAGCTTCGAACAAGAAGACTGATGTCGTCCTCTCCATGCAGCAGTATGTTTCTCCTTACCAGCATCCTGTACCGATATTCGCGAAGACTAACCACAATCAACAGANNTGGTATCCCGTGACCCTTCAGAAGAAGAAAGAGATTTCCGAAGACACTCGCCAATACACCTTCAGCCTCGGCGACAAATCCAAGAAGCTCGGCCTTGGTACTTGCCAACACTTGCAGATCGGATTTCACATGGCCGACAAGATGCTTGTTCGCTCCTACACTCCTACTGCTCCCATCATCGGCGCGGATACTGAGGACGGCACTTTCGACCTTGTCGTCAAGACTTATTTCCCTACCGACGAACAACCCGGTGGCGCCCTGAGCAACATCCTCGACTGCATGAAGGAAGGCGAGGATGTCGAGATTCGTGGTCCTACTGGCGACATCAAATATCTTGGCAATGGCAAGTTCGAAATCTTCGACGAGGAACAGCAATTCGAGAACATCACGCTCATCCTTGGTGGCTCCGGTATCACGCCAGGATATCAACTGATCGCCAGGATCATGGCTACTGACAGTGACAAGACGAAGATCAAGGTTGTGGATGCCAACAAAGACGAGTCTTCCATCTTATTGCGCGAGGATTTGGACAAATTCGCCAAAGAGCACAAGGACAGCTTTGAAATCCAGCATATCCTCAGTCATCCCTCAGATGACTGGAAAGGTGAGAAGGGACATGTGGATGAAGACAAGATCAAGAAGTACGGTTATGCGCCTGAAAAGGAGAGCGGCAAGAAGAATGTTGTGTTCTTGTGTGGTCCTCCAGCCATGATCCAGAAGGCCGCTATGCCTGCATTACGCGACTGGGTAAGTTTCCGTCATACGAATGGTGTGATAAAAGCCGTGCTGACACAAAATAGGNGATACGAGGAAGGCAAAGACATGTTTGGATTCTAAAGTCGTCATAAGTAATAATATCGAAGAACATCGACTTCAGCTCCCGTCCATTCTGCGTGATGCCGAGGTGTTCTGCTCAATATGAAACAACAATCTTCTAGGTACTTTCTAGTGACAGCGGCAGTTGCCGAGTGGATTCAAGCTGGACCTCAAGCGACGTTTCTCTTCAACCTCCTGCACAACAACCATCGAAATTGAAGCAACGATCGCTCAAACCAGCAATACTTGGAAGCTGTATTCTCGAGATGAAACTGTAAGAGCCATCTTGACCTTCTACCAACAACTCACAAAACATCCATATTTAGATGAAACGGCTCTCAAGATTGCTCCTGCCCCTGGGTGGGACAACATCGATCAAGAAGCTCTCGGAGCCATCGGTAAGACCGATACTGTAATCGATCTACTGCGCNATCTACCATATCTTGATGGACGCAGTGATGGATACCTTATAGCATATGAAACCGTCCCAGTCGACTTCACCATCGAGTCGACAGCAATGACCGAAGAGGTCTATCCCATACCTGGCCACTGCGTCTATCTCACCGAGGGTCTGGGTCGAGAAGGATACCGTCTAATTGTAGATACTGAGAAAGGTAAAGTCTACTTCGCATTGAGCAGAACATTTCGCTTATGAGAAAGTAAAGGCACCACAACAGCTTTCAGCATCATGGACTACGACCTCTCCACCGCAGATCGAATTGACCACGAAAACCAGCCAGAGATCGAGCAATGGAGAGCGCACCGCACCCTTCCCACCATAGAATTCTTTGCCGCATGGACACTTCGGTATGAAAAGTTGGTGTGGTTCATGTCTCCCCGTCCCTACCTAGCAGCAGGTGAATTCCACTCTAAGGCACAGAGTCGACAGCAAGAAGAGGAACTATGCCACCAAGAGCCGACACAGTGGATTCCTGATCTGTCTGAAGCTGAGGAGATGGAAAACGAGGATGCCAGGGAATGGAAGATCTTGAACATCAAGTATCCTGCTGTAAGCATTCTTGGATGATTGACATAACTCAGTACGCTTGTCTAACAAGAGATATCAGNNGATGTATATAACACATATCTTCGATATGGGTGGGGAAGCGAAAGTTTTGACAAGCAGGCCTGTAAAGTCACGTTGCTTGAGATGGAGAAGGCTTTTAGCAAAGAGCAGAGGCATCTCATGGATAAAAACGATCCGGATGCTGATATGTTCGACTAGCCATCTTGTAATTAACACGAAATTCTTTGATTTCAGCCTTGCTAGTCGCGAGTATTGTTGTTATCAAATTTGACAGTGATACTTTCTAGAGTAGTTGCTGTCTTGTCATTGAATTGCGTAAGATGAATAATAGACAAACAGTCTTTACCACATTTGTATCGAAGCCAAGTGGATAGATTGATTGGTTGGTTGAAGTCAAAGTTGGTAGGCTGAAAAAGCTTCGTAGCCTTGGATGTGAAATCATGGAGGATTGCGGCCGATGCAAACTATAGACTTAGAGACTCTGCTCCAACAGACATGCTGATCACACAGCAGAGGATATCCTTGTTAGACTTGAATTTGCAAATGGCCTTCTCTGTTGATGTGCGTCTGCGCACTCAATGCCTTGATAGTGACGCACGGAATGCATAGGTTGTAGAATATCGAATGTATTTTGCGGTCAGCCAGCGGACATGACCATCTTCCGCTTCTGCTCAAAGCAGAGCTTGTTGATGTGCCCGAGTAGCCAGCGCTTCTTTGCAGACAGCGAATGCGGACAGGAGGTATAGATGCTGTTCACACCAAGTATGGCGTTGTCAATTAGTGAACTTTTGAGCAAGAATTGGCTGGCGTTCAGGAGAAGTTGATGAATCATCTCTGTTTGAGCAATGCTCTCTAACTCTGCAGATACTGACGCAGTTCGCTCAACTTAGTTACGATTTTGCACTTTCCATACAGGATTCCAGGGATGGCATCGGGGTTGTTAAGCAGACAGACGCCCAGATGCCTCGAAAGATTCCAAACAGTGTGACACTTTAGTAGTTGTAAGCCGAGCAGGGATATGTGATCGTGGGCGCGATCTGTATATAGCTTGAGCTGTTGTCCAGCCAAGAATTTACAATCACAGGTGCAGAAGAGTTGAGCACAGGGGCTCTTCGGACTATCGAGGGCCATGAGAGCTTCAGCAGGAAGTACGATGGTGTTATCAGGCAAGGTGATGCTAATGATCTCCATGGTTTCGCTTGACGAAAGAGCCAAATACGCTGGTGAGCAGATAAGACACTGAAGTAGCTGTCAAGCATATGCAGGGATCCCAGGGCCGATCCATCAGCCATCTTGAGAGCCTTTGCAACCCACTCAGATGCAAAATCGGTAAAGCATGAGGCAACTTCAGCACTTGAAGTCTTGATAAAGAATATGTCAGCGCAATGTTGCCCGTTTACACTGTGCGCAAGATTGCACCAATGTCTTGCCTCATGCTGAGTGGAGTTAGAGGATGGACCTGCGTATATAAAACAGCGAGGACGAGCTCCACCAATAACTTGTTCCGAAGCCTGATTGATCATACAGCTTTTCCAAGTGCCTGATGGTCTTACAGTTCTCCTTAACCATCTCCAAATCCTCTGCTGCGGACAAAGAGGTGCCACAGCAGGATCTCTATGCTCGACCCGATAGCTTTGTGGATGACACTGGTAGGGTAGTCTCGGACAAAGCCTCTTCTCAGTTGATAGAGCTCATGAAAAGATAGTCGATGGCCTTGGCTCTGACGATGTATGGCTCGATACTGTAGCCTGTTGCCCAGTCTCGAAGGATATGGCAGTGAGAATTTGATGCTCTCTGTGACTGGGAGCTTGGCATCATCCATTGATGCAATCAGCTTAGCTTGGTTTGCATAGTCAGTGAACTGGCCAACAATCCATGTTTGCTGGTTTCTTGTTGACATCGAATTGTCGTTGCTTGTAGTCTGTATGGGCGGACGGCCCAAGGGCCTTTCGCTGAATCCGGAGCACCTTTAGAGAATTTAGACGGTCTTCAATGTCCTCATTCTTCTGGCTCAGCCTCCAGTTAATAACAGTTTCTTGTGTTATTCTCCCTGGATGGTTGTCTCCTCTTTCGTCCATCAGGTGGATCTGATCTACTAATTCCCAATTTGTGGGATCAGATCGTTGAAGGTGTTGCGAGCCTTGCTGGGTCCCCGTGCAACGATCTTCTCAATCGCCAAGTTGCGCGTTTGGACCTCCCCATCGCCACATTTGATGACATCGAAGCTTGAGATCTTGAGAGTAGTGAGTTTGGTGGCTTTGTCGATCGAAGCTTCAAGGAAGTCGATGGCCGGATAGCCGTCGTTTGGCCCGTTGTACGAATCGCCAATGGCGATTTGGAAACAGCTCAAGACGCACAAGAGTCTCAGTACTCTTCCATGAAGAGAAATTTCCCACGCCCCAGCCGTCAAGAGTAAGGCCCTTGAGGGTCACTTCATGGTAACCGGTCCCATTGACAAGCGGCTTGAAGGCCTTTAGTTCCTTGCAAGTGACGTTGCGAAGGCGACATGGAACAACGTCCCGCAGAATCTGTTGGAAGAGTCTCCTTAAGATCGGCGAGGTGTGCTCCCAGTGTGTTCACCGGTCTCCTGGAACGCGATTGGCGAGAATGGCAAGGACCTGGCTGTGCAGAACTGAGAGAGGTGTGTGTCGCTTCAATGGCCAGCATTGCGGCAAGACGTCGCCATCCATTGAATGTTTAGGCCGTTGACTTCGGTGTCGGCGGTGTCTTCAACATGCTGCACGTGAGAATTACTGGCGTAGTCGCTAATGTTGCTTATATACGTGGTGAGTATGCTCCTAGTCTGACAATTTGACAAGTCGATCAATATTGTCGACCATGACTGGGGCTGACTTGCTCAGACTGTTCTCGAACGGGCTCGTCTTGATCAGGCTCGCTGTGATCAGGTTCTTCTCGACCATCAAGTTTTGCAAAATTTCCGAGATATATGGAACAAGGCCGAGGGAATCCTATATACTAGTTTTCATCGAATTTTCTAGTGGGTGTGATGGTAGTAAAAGTTGTTATGTTGTTGGCTGAGTTACATCATCTCCCAGCTCGACTGAAGTTCCTGATGAGGCTCTTTCTAGAATGTGCGCTGTGAATCGACATCGACCCCAAGATCGGCTTGTACACGTGTCCCTCCCAAATGTACATGGCGCCAAGTAGCAAGATGAGCTGCTAGACGATATGGATGAGGAAGCCTTTGGTGTTGGCCTTGGTGAACATTGTGAACTTGCTGAAGACTTCTGTTTGCTGCTTCTCGATTCCTTGATGGTGGCGTTTTACCTTGTCGAAGGTTCTGCCGAAGCCACGGGACAGGAGGTCTGATGTACACATGTGTGCTCTCAAACTTTGGCAAGTTCTTCATGCTCTTTCTTGTACCTCTCCGTATGGCTGGTATGAATGATCCGGAAATCTGTATCGAGACGGATTTGGGTGGCGAAGACCGTTGTGCAACAAAAGCATCGCCCAAGCGTGTCAAGTGTGTTACAGCTTGATTCCATGCTACCCGAGCCTGGTGATGGGCATCGTTCACATCTAGAGAAGTTCCTGCGAACATGAATCGAGATTGAACAGGAGCAGCGCTCCCGTGACACATCAACAGGACTTGAGCCAACAGGACAAAAAGTGACATAGAGCGTTTGTTATCAGTTTCAGCATGCTCGTCCCGCGCACCGTCCGTATATGACTAACACTCGTCGATACAGAACACAGCATTTCTGACACGGTGCTCAACCGACTAGCTCTCAAATGAGGGCCGCAGTCAAGAGTGACGATTCGTGGTGAGCCGGACGGGTGTAACGAACCGAGTCGTAGATCGCGACGAAGGGATTACGATAGTAGTCGTCTCGGGAGTAGTAGAGTTGGAAGTCTGAGGCAGGCTGTTTAGGCTAGCCCATTGGTAGCTTCTGGAGTTACACCAGTTGACTAGGCTTGCACCTGAGAAGCAGCGGCTTGACCGCGGCAGGAGCTCACAGGGAGATTCGCGCCACTGCCTTCGGGGTCACCAGTGTTCGAGGGGATGTTGGTTTGACGTTCGTCACTGCCATCGAGACCGCTGAACATAGGCATGATGTTACGCTGGGCCGCTGGCCAGTACTGTGAAAGCCTCCGAAATCCATAACGCCAGGCTCCTCGGTCCCGTCAATACCTTCGTAATAGGACATCTATCCTTTCTGTCAGTGCTTGCGTGACACCGTGAAGCTAGCCCACAAGAAACTCAAAAACGAGTACAACGGCACGAAGTCTGATAAAGTAGCGATAGGGTAGCGCTCTCCCTAGGCTGCATGGGAGGCATGGTATTAACCTTTCCGAGAAGAAGAACAACTTCTGACCTCTAACAGGTGCAGTTATGTTCATCACTTTGGCCAGCTTCTGCCTTAGTTCCAGGTTTGAGATGTGTGTAGACTACGAGCTTGTGGCTTCAGGCAGCTTGGAGATCGGAGCTTTTAGCCCCTTTCTTCCGTCAGCTGCAATCTTTTCGCGGATCGCATCCTAAGTCCGTTCATTGTGGGTAGGACTAAATCGCTAGGCAAGACCGACTGGTGTCTCGTGTCGTAGTACATCTGGAGGCCGGCAATGGTAGAACACAGGAGATCGAAATGTTGGAGAGCGTCATAGCTGTCCTGATTGTCTCGAAACGTGCGTAACGCTTGGGTATATGATGGTTGCATATGTTTGGGAAACATGTACGCCAGAGCACGCACAACGCCCGAGGTGAGGATGTTTTGGGCGATGGCAGATAGCATGTTTTGTCCAGGGATGACCGGAACATCACTAGCGTCCTAATAAAGGATATATATATATATATATAGAGGTGAAAATGACGAGCCGCTTGTGTAGTACCGTCTATAAAGAGCGGAGGAGGTCGCAAACCTTGTTGATCATGTCTGCAAGGTAAGATGTGCTGTTCAGTGAGACACCAGGCGTGCTAACCTGCTTCAAGTTGTCGAGTGTGTTGTTCATGGCATCGGTCTGCCGAGGGCGGTTCATCGATAATGGTGATGATGAGTCTGTTAACAACACTGGCGTCTTTCATAGGCACTGCTTTAGAGAACGGTGATGGGGACCGATCTGTTGATGTGCAGGAACTCGAACAGTGCGCTGGATTGCCCAGTGTCATCGTGGGAGTCTGAAATGTCATTCGAACCATTGCGACGCCAATCATGAGTTGAGGCCCTATGATTGCTGGT